GGTATACCTTAACCCGGAAGAACCTACATTTTTAAGGACCTGTATAAGGAAATCATGATAAGGATCGCTAAAACGGTAGGCTGTTCAGGGTTAAGGTACGGTTTGGAGTTTGAGCTCTTTGTTCCGGGTTTCTCCTCCGATTTGGGGTTTTGCACGGGCAACCTGCTTGAGATGCTCCGGCTGAATCAAGCTCCGTGAGTTCAGGCTGGACAGGTAAACAGGAAGACTAGCAACGGCAAGAGTAAGTAAGGTGATGCTCCTATCATTCTCGCCACCATTATCGTTGTCACCATCATCATCACCATCATCATCCTTGTCAGTATCGTTTACGGTGTACCCATGGCCAACCATCAAATGTCACGGCCATCACCTCCACCCGGACAGCAAGTAGCACGCCTGCGCCTGCCGATACCTTTCCTCCTCCCTGTCCTGCTTGCCCTACTCCTCCGGTGTCAGGGGCCCTTAAGAATTCCATCTTCCTCTCTAAAGGAAGCTTTGACACTGAAGATATCTTTGGCTTTCCAGAGTACATACTCCAAACTGAAGCCACACTGCGGAACGAGTCTGACAGTATGTGTATCCGAGTCTTCTGCTAGAAGCGCATGTAGAGGTTACAATTCATGCTTTGCTCAGGCTTCAGGATTTGGGCTGTAACCGAGGATAGGTTTTCGGAGTGTTTAACTTTGGGCATCGGCCACACAGACCGAACTCAACAAGTCGTCGACCGCGCAATCGATTTCCGAAGATTCGCCAGGGAGCTGCTGAAATGGCTCAGCTGTGTCTGCTTGCATGAGTCCTGCTTGGAGGATCATGAGAGCAAGTGAGGTAATAGGTACCTCAATTGGGGTTATAAGTACATTTTCCCGTATTCACCTTGGTTATTCCCATTATCCTGAAACCCCAGATCCTTATAGATCTCTTATTGATCCCTTTCAGGAACCCTTTAAGGAACCCCCTTAAGGAGCCCTTTAAGGAACCCTACTAGGTCCCATCATCCTTGAAGGGACAGCTTTCGAGCTTCGGTGACCCTGAAACCCCTGAACCCCTGAACCGTAAGATAGGGGCCTTTATGATCAGAACAGGGTTCCTTTAAAGGGTTCCCCGTTAAACGGAATCTACAAGGGCTATTATAAGAATTTAGTATAGAAGCCTTAATAGTCAGAACCGGGGTTGGGGGTGTACTATACTATATTTATAATGAGGAACGCCCTGGAATAGAATTGGTAATTGTTTATGCCCCTACATTACATACCAAGGAGCGGGAAATCCGGAGGTCAGAGGGCTTGGGGTTCTACAGTAGAAGCCGAAAAGTTGGAAACCCCATAGCCTCAATCCTTAAGAGTCATGTATAGGGAATCCCAGCACTATTTGGCCTTCATCCGGTTTCCAACTTTATGGAGTTTACTGTAGTGCTTCGAGAGTGAGAGCTTGGAGACTATGCCGGCGTCAAACATCCAGACTTGTCTTTATGCAAGTAGGAGTTTCCGAAAATCGGGGACCCTAATATAGTACCCTGAATAGTAAGATCCTTATTATAAGAACCCCCCAAATAAGGTACCCCTAATTTCGGAAACTCCCAAGTATGCCAAAATTTCAACATCATGGCTTCACACTTCTCATGGCTTCACACTTCGAGACGTGCCTCTTCTTGTGGCATGAAAGTCAACGTGAAAGCTCAGTACCCCGGAATCCCAAGACCCAGACCCTAAACCCTGAACTCGAGACCCCTAAACGCCAACCCTAACCCTGCCACTTCTTCGTAGGGAATGGGGGAATGGGTTATGGGGACTATTATTGGAGATTCTATAGGGACTACTCTTGGGATCCATTCCCCTATTCCCTACGAAGCACCAGACAGAAAACCTAAAACCCTACACCACCCTATGATATTTTTCTTTTTTAGGGATCCTGATTATGGGGTCTATCTATGAAGGGAGACCTGCAGGGGAAGCTACAACTAACTATTGAACACGCCTTCTCTTAAATGGATCCTACGATTTAGGGTTCTCTATCAGGGCGGCGGTCACAACTGTCCTACTACGTAAGGTTCTATGTTTCAAGCGTCTTTTAAGTGCCGGTCTTTCCCTGGAGCCCGAACGCCGCAAGACCCCCTTTGTTTCAAAGTCAATGACTCAAGGGATCATGGTCTTCAGGAGTTCGGGCCCGGTTTAGGGCTTAGGGTTTAGGAATTCAGGGTTTAGGGACAGTTAGGATTAGACCCTTGGGGATATAGACCCTCTCGATGAAGTGCCTTCTAAGAGAGCCATAAGTAGGGTTGAGAAGGGTCCCCCCGTTTAAGGGGGTCTCCCCAATGCTACCCAGGAGTCTTGGCGTTTCGGAGTTTCAGGCTCAATCCAGGGTCTGAGGGGTTTCGGGCTTGTGGCCTCTGCACTAAAAAAGCAAAAAAACAAGTCTACACCCTAAACTCAAAAACCAAAACCATAAAACCTCAAAACTCAAATCCGAAAGTAAAAAACTATACCGCAGTATTAAGGCCCTATTGTAGTCCTATTATACCACTATTACAGGGTGGGGGCCCCTTCTAAACTATACCCTAACCGAAGACTCCCTCCGCACGAAGTCCTTCAGCACCAGCAGTAGCCAAGAGCGGGACTTCTGCTCAAACCCGCGATCCATCAGCGAGTGCCTGGGGTTTAAAGTTTAGTTTCGGGTTTAATATAGACGTTTGGGGCCCCGTTATAGTACAATCAAAAAATGGAACCACCGGTTCTCGTTGAGGAACTTGACCTAAGATGCCATACAAAAGCCAGCTTACTCTCCCCCGTCCCGTTGCACTAAAGACCAAAGACTCCAATATCCCTTTCCTTTAAGGGTTCCTACAGGGAATCTATAGGGTTTAGGGTTTAGGAGACTCCAATATCCCTTACTTGAGGAATATTCCTTAGATCATATATAAACCCCACAATGACCGCTATAGCAGCCTTTTCTTAAGGTCTCATAACAGAAGACGCAGCGAACCCTCAAAAACAAAAGTGGGCCGGACCAGTGTTTTCACTGAGTATCCGCATATAAAAACAAGCTCAGCAATATCCCGACCCTAGACACTAGACCTAAACCCTACAGCAAGGTTACCGTGGGCCTTCGTTTGTGCATGGACAGGTTTCGCGGTTTCGGAGGCAGATGGACTTCATGCGCTCAGCGAAACTACTAATCGTTTGGGGTTTAGGGGTTAGACTAATCGACCTACTTCAGCGCCATAAAACCTCCTTGGGACACGACTGGAGCAGCTCCAAGGGAGCTATCGACAGGACCTGCAAGGGAAGAAATCGAACCCTGAGGCATTTGGATTGAGGACTCCATTTGGCTTCCGTAGGTTTTCACAGTCTTGGGGTTCAGGGTTTAGGATTCCATTAAGGCTTCTTTTTTGGGTTTCATAGGGTCGAGAGGTTTAGGGTTTAGGATTCCACTAAGGCTTCTGTAGAGTTTGATAGGGTATGGGGGTTTAGGTGTTTGACTCCATTAGGTTTCGGTAGGGTTTCATTGGGTCTAGGGGTTTAGGGTGTAGGACTCCATTAGGTTTCTGTGGGGTTTCATAAGGTCTAGGGATTCTGAAGTTGAAGGGCTTCATTTAGGGTTTGGGTCACATGCCTGCGCAATGAAGCTCAAAATAAAGCGGGTTGTACTTGATACAGCGGCAATGATAGAAGTACGAACAATACCCGTAGCAACTGTCGTAACAATATGAAGGTTAGATCCCACTGTATCTTACGAGTACTGATATCTATCCCATACCTTCCATCAAGGATACTTGATACCTGAATCCAATGCCTACATACCAACACTAAAACCGCTCAGGGATACCGTAGCGACCTTAGAAATTAGAATTGGATTTGGCAATTATCCCGGCCCCTATACTATGCCCAGGCCGCAACCCTAGAACCTGAACCGTAAAGCTAGCTCATGGTTTCAGGCGCTGGCAGTCCTGGCTAGGACCAAAGACGGACACCGCCGCGCCAATGCACTCGGCGAGTTCCTGCCACTATTTTCTTCATTTTTGCAGCTTTGGTTTTTGATGGGTTTATGGGTTCCGAGTTCCAAGGCAGAGTCCCCCGTCTTGAGGCTTGTAGAACTGGGGAATGCCGGGAAGCACCAAAGCTCCTTCCCAAAGTAGTTCAGCTCTCCGCCACGAGCATTGTCCCGGGCCTGCAACAGTTGCTTCGAGAAGCGCATGCTTCGAGGTGTTCACAAACCTACGACACCGTAAAGCCCCAAAATCACCAACGTCCTTGGGTCCACATCTGACACCCTCCGGCTTTGGTTTTAGGGTGATGAAGGCTTCGAGCCGAGGTCTACGGTCTAGGGCTTGAAAATTTTGGGGCTTTCAGGTTCAAGCTTCCCAAGTTAACTTTGAGTTTCAGGGCTTCGCGGGAGTGTCGGGGCTCCAAGCCGAGTGCAGCACAGCTCTACTTGGAGGATCATGGGACTTAGTAAGGAAGGTTATAGGTACCCTAAGCGGGGTTTATAAGCAACTATAAATACAGTTACCTTACTTATGACCCACTTACTAAGTCCCATGAGCCTTTAAGTACTAACACTGAACCCTAAACCTCAAAGTTTTACAGGTTGTGAATCCTTCAGCAATGAGGCCCAAGCACATCGCAAGCCCCGACCAGTATTGCTGAAGCTGCGCACGTTGCAATCACAGACATCATATAAGGACGGAGCCTTGACAACTAGAGTACGCTCCCGTCACCGCCCCGGCTTCTCAAAGAGACTGTTCCGGCTTACATCGTGGAGAACTTTTAAGTTCTGCCTTACGTACGAAACCTACCAGCTTGCTTCATACCTGATTTTCCTGCTCGCTTGAACTTGCGTGTGCAACACAGATGGGCTTCAAGTTTAGTAGTCACAAACGGGTTGGTCAAGTCAACCCGGGTTCTCCGAAAATGATGAGACAAAGGGGCCGTCTCCTGCAAGTTGTACAACAACAAGCAGCCGGCAGCTCCAAGTATTAAAAACTTCCATCTTCACACAAGGGGTCACATGTGGAAAAAACAAAAGTTCTCGATGCTGCGTAGCGTATAACCCGGCTTTCTGATGTATTTTCTTACCTCCGAAGATGCGGATGTCCAGCCAGTGCAGAGAAGATCGCCTACGATGACGTGCGCCATGATGCTCTCCGGCCTGTCCCTATGTGCATCAACCTTGAAATAGTTGCTCAGAGCGCTTGCCGGATTGAAGACATGCCCAGAGATAGGGAGGTCTCTCAATTCCTCGGGTAGCTGGCCTGCAGATTCGAAAAACCGATCTCCAGACGCCCACTTTGCGACGAACCAGGCCCGAAAGCCGCCCAAGGAATGCCCAGTGATCGTGATGTGCGTGATCTTTGCAAATTTTGCAGCTTCCATGAATGCCTTCCTGGTAAAGTCAATGTCATCGCCTTTGCCTGTCTGAAGTTTGAGCCACCTATCCCAGCCTCCGACCAACGGATCGGCCACCAGAACATCATCCACGAAGTCTGCCGCACCTTCCGTGCCATCGAAAACCAGCAACAAAGTTGAACCCTTGAGCAGGCCCACTCGGTTGGCTGAGTCGGCTACAACTTTCCATCCATAGACATCTCTGTGACCTCCGTACATCTCTCGACAGATTCGCGCCAGTTCCGGAGCATCCGGAGGCATGTCAGTTAGGTTTCGTCCAGTGGCCAATCCCGTCGCAGTACCATGAATTGCAGCTGGAATCCCGAAATAGGCATTGAATGTAACTGCTGACAATGACGCTGCGCCGAACACGGCCATCTTCAACCAGGGCGCATCCATGACAGCTAATGTTGCTTGAGAAGTGAGTTGTTCTCAGATGCAATTAAGAAACTGTCCGCCGCGGAAACCAACAGATGGATGCTGCATCGTCGCGAGACGGACATCGTGACACTGCTTTGAATCTTGTCTTCGACTATGTCTGGCGATTGTGATCAGCCATGCTTGTGCCACAACACCTCGCGTGTTTACTTGTTGGCGCTTATCCGTTGGAATGTCTCGCAGGAAAGCACGAACCACTTGCTAGGAGCTGTCTTTCATGCAGTCGTTGACCATGAGCCATGGAGGTATGCTCTTCCCTCCTGCACGCTTCAATCCAACAGCTGACGCCTCACAAACCTTGCCGAACCTTCCGCCACAAACTGTTGCAACATGACTTTCGTCTCGCACGCTCTGAAGTAGGCCGAAGCACTAAAACCTTGAATCCGCCTGGATCAGCTCTAAGACAAGGGGCTTCGCTCGCCTGGCAGATGAAGCATGCGAGGAGGCTTTACAATGACAAGCCTGGCTAGCATTTTAAGCTTAGCCTTCCCACACGCAGTCGTCTTGTTCCACCCTTAGCCCTAACCCAGAATCATCCAACACCCGAAAACTGTTCAGACTCTCTGGGCATGCATTGGAAAGCTGGGGCCTTGAGGGGTCGGAGGGATTGGGAGGACGATTGGGATCCAAAAGCTCACCACCGGATTCCAAAAAGGTATCGTCGGTTTGGAACAGCAAGGTGTCCAGGATGCTGTCGAAAACTCGTGGGTTCAAGGTTGCGGCTTCGTGACGGGCTTAGGCTCTACGGCTAGGGAATCAAGGATCCGCGGCTTCCAGTTCTGGATTGTGCATCTACGAACAATATGGGCCGCCACCACCATGACTCAGCCGCTTATAGACTCAATACCCATGCTTGGCTCGAGAACTTCACTGTAGCACGCGACTCTACGAGCTGGGATCTGTAGGTTGGTTCAGGGCTCAGGGTTTTAAGCTTAAGCGCTTCGTGTTTGGAGTCAGGATTTCCCACTCGGAGATCGGGTCAAACTGATGAAAGCTCCCCGGGGCGTCGGCTGAAATGCGGACTCCGTCCATGCAACGATCGTCTCTGTGCCTGGCGAACTTGGGAACTGCTTCCGTGAAACTTGTAACCTACGAGACTGTAGCAGTGCATATGTATGGGTACCGTAGCACCTGACAGTTGTAGTTTCACAATATGCCAGCACTTCTCAAAAATATCAACAAACAGTCTTTCTCCTGACATCTACGGGCCTAGGGCCCCAAGTTCGTCGTTTGGACCAGGGTCCTTTCCCTCCGCGCGGGCAAAAGGCTGAAGGGTTTGAACCTTGCAGCAACCCTGCAACCTAAGGCACCAAATGTGGGGATGTTGACTCAAACTCCGTCCCGAATAAACGCGAGGCAGCCCAGCAGCCGAAGAGCATGCTCAGCAGGGATGCTCGGAAACAGCTCTACCCAACCTTTGCATCAATCCCTCTCAAACCTTTAGGGTCAAAGGGTCTTGGGTTTAGGGGCTTTGTGTTGAGGGTTTCGGTCAAAAAACTTCGCGCCCCGCAACGGCAAATGGCCTCGCGCTCCGTTGCAGTGCGGAGCTCGGGAAATTCGAAAGATCAGGGAACGACCCCAATCCTGAGAAGCTCCGAGCTCTAATGCCCAACCCCAAAGAAGCCCTTAATTAACGAATAGAGCGAACATTATGAAGGGGATCCTTGATATGATCCGGGGCATATTCCTTTACCAAAGGGGTGTCAGGGGGAGCCTTCACATGATTTAGGGCACAACAAAGGGGTCGTAATAATTTAGAATAGGGGTTTGGGCCCCATCATACTATAATTATACCAAAAGGAACCCCCAAAATGGTATAGGTAATTGTCACGGCCCCTACATTAAGACTATACTGAACTTAGAACCCTAGCAAAAATTATAATTTTAGCTGTTTCTGAGGGATTATCATAACCAAAAATTAAAAATTATTTCTAAGTACCCCTGAGAAGAAAGGGGTCTTTGGAGTCGCTGGGTGAACCCTGAACCGGCCCTGTCGAGGCCGAGGACTAAGCGTGCCAGGACTGGCCAAGCTGTCCCCGAAGCCCACCCAGAGCTGCAAAAAGAGCAGTGACCTCATGGTTCGGGGTGTGGGGTGTGTGGGATTTAGGGTTCGGGTTGAGGGTTCAGGGTTCCGTTTAGCCTTTAGGGTTGCGCGTTCATGCTTTGGAGATTTGGGGCTCAACATTTCGGAGTCGAGTCGCGGTAAGTCTCACAGGGCGGGCACATGCGCAACATGTTGGATTTGCAATCGCACTACCCCCAAGTGAAGCAGCTGATTCCTAATCTGAACGCGGCAAAAACACGTAAAGAACCTAAACAACAACGAAACTCTAAAAGCTCGTATGATACCCAACCCTAAACCCTCAATACCCCAAGCCCTAATCCGTTAAAGCCGTTCATACCCCTTGAAAAAGGACTCCCAGCTTTTCTCAGAATCTCCAAGGGTAGAAGGAGGCACCCTTAATAAGGACCCCTAGGTATATACCCTTAATATAGCATAATACAGCTAGTATATACTCATGATACAGCCCATTATAGGGTAGGGGTCCCTCCTTTTCCCCTGTCAAAATCCCTGGGCTCCGGCCGCCGGCAGGGACTGGCACCAGGATCCCTTGGCTTCGAAACCTGAGGTTTGCGGTTTTGGGCTTGTGGATTAAAGTCTAGGGTGTAGGGTTTGGGGTTTAAGGTCTACAGGGTTTAGGGTTTGGGGTTTTGGGTTGTGAGGTGTATGGTTTCGGGTTCAAGGTTCAAGGCTGAATGTGTGGGTTTAGGGTTTAGGGTTTCGGCTTCAAGGTTCGAGGTTACAGGTGCAGGGTTTAGGGTGTAGGGCTGCAGGCTTTTAGGGTGTTGGGTTTAGGCAGCTGAAGGTTTAGGATTTGCAAGGGTCGTGCTTTCAAACATCTGCCAGAGTCTACACAACCTGCTCGTAAACACTCTGCATCCTTGAAGCCTATCCAACCATCAATCTGTCCATGTATCTATCCAACTACCTGGCCATTTATTGCATTCTCACCTCCTCAGTGCTTCGGTCACCCCACATCATCAGACTGGGGGTTTGGGCTATAGCATGGTATTTCTATATTGGAGCTCTTTCTATACTCTATATTCGCCCGGAAGCCTGAAGCCTAAACAATCTCAAGCCGCCGGAATACAGAATACAACTTTGACATGAGCTCCTTTAGCACCAGAAACACTCTTAAACCCTCCCCTTTTAAACAACAACAAACAACAACACCTCCTTCCTTAAACCCTAAACCCTAAATCAGAAGCCCTTATTGAAAACCAACGAAACCCCCTACTCGCAATTCAAGAAACCCTTCTTCAAACCATATCAAACCCCTTGCTGCGCGTAAACGACATGGTAAGCCACATATTTACGAAACCACAACAAACCCCTCATGAAAACCACACCCTCAACCCGAAACCGCAAGGAACCCTACTGAAACAGCTCTTTTTCTTCTTCTAACCATAGTTCGCTCCCTCATTAATAAAAACCATTATACCTTTGTTTCTCAAAAAAAAGCTCGCTTCTTCTTAGTAGTAATATGAGTAATACCAATACTCATAGTAGTACTAGTAATAATACTTACAATAAGAACAGTAATACTAACCATATTCATTCTAGTGATAATAAAAAATAGTACTAGTACAACAAATAACTGCAATGCTGACAATATTAATTATAGCAATAATCGTAAAAAACAGTACTGGTAATAACAATGATCGTAATCTCTTGTTCTTAGCCGTGGCAACGGAGCAGAGGCCGAACCGCCTCGAGGAGCTCCTGGCAAACAGGGCAAGGAGGGACGATACTTGGAGGGTCGGGGGACTTAGCAACTGGTTATTTTACGGAGTAAAAAGTACCATAACCCCAATTAGGGTCCCTTTTAGGATACTTGTAAGTCTACTTACTACCTACTTACTAAGTCCCCCGACCCTCCAAGTATGGGTAGCTGTCAAATCAGGGGTCCCTTTTTGGGTACCCTAAATATTAGGTGCCGTATTGTATTAAGGACCCAAAAAGGGACCCTAATGTTGACAACCACCCATATGACGAATTACGTTAACCCTACAGTAAACCCCAAGAAAAGGAAATTAGGCTACCCTATTTTCTGAAACTCCCCTAAGACGGGTTATACTACGACAGAATGGAGTAGAATACGATCTAATATTATATAGTCATATAAAACATCATACAGAACATAATACGACAGAACAGAGTAGAATATAGTATGATTTAGTATGACATCATGTATGGTATGATTGGTTTTGATTTGATATGGTATATGATAGATTTTAGTTCTGGGGTTCTAACTCCTTCCGATGCTTTCTTGCAGACGTTTTCACCTGGTTGTCCAAATCTTTTCGGGTTCATAGTGCTTCTTGTGACGGAGTTGTGCATACGGTGTTGAAATGCTTTGGGGGTTTAGACGGCCTTGGAAAGTTGCTTTTCATTCGAGACGGCGGGGTGTACAAGGCGTTACAGTTTCTTGCTTGATCTGAAAAAGATATGTTCCTTAATTTTACAGCTGCACTCATCTCAGTTAAGCCCCTCGGCCTTAAGGTGCAGGATTCGGGGAGTCTCAAAGCTTCGGGCGTAGGGGTTTAGGATTTAAGGTTTCTGCGTTAGGGCTGGTTTAGGATTCAGGAATGAGGAAATCAGAACTAAAGTTCTTGGCAGTTTAAGGTTCGTGGCTTTGGGGCCCTTCGTGTGCTTCCACGAACACATTAGGCAATGGAGCTTAGGCATGTTCGTGGAGCGTGCCTGCAAGAACGCTTCGTCACCTCCTTCGCCAGCAGCTTGAAATATTGTCGTGCAGGCCTGGGCAGAGTACTGTGAGGAACTCTGAAGCGTTAAAGCAAGCACTCACCCTCTCCAATAAATCTCATCTCTGCGTTAAACAGGACGTCTTGCTAGCAGCTCAAGAAGATTATTGAAATTTATAGAGGGCTTTTTGTGTTCGACGAGATTTTCACTGGCCTCATCTGCAAAAGCCTTACAAACACTTGTAAACCCATACAAGATCCTTGGAGAGGGCAGCCCCAGACCAAGAACCCAAACCCTGACAGCGGAATCCTTCAACCGTAAAACCAAAAAGCCATCAAACCCGAACCTTCAAAATCCTAAACCCGTTATAGAACACATGCAAAACCCCTATATGTGCCCAATCGCTTGTCGAACCCTTACGTAGCACTCATCGATAAGTTAATCGAACCCTTCATAGAACCTATACTGAACTTAGAACCCTAGCAAAAATTATAATTTTAGCTGTTTCTTGGGGATTATAATGACCAAGAACCCCTCATCTCGTGGAAACACCGACAGGAACTCTTCGAAGGAACCCTTCAGAGGAACTCTTTGACAGGGCCCCTGTTTAGGGTTTAGGGTTTAGGGTTTAGGGCTTAGGGCAAAAATTAGGATAGGGATCTCTCCCAGATAAACACCCTTATCACGAAACCCAACAAGGGATGTCCCTGTAAAATGCTTATGCGAAATAAGAGGGACCATAATATAGAGCCCGATGGTACCCTTTAGGGAAACCTAGTCTAGAACCCTATATACCTTGTGAGGGGAACCATAATATAGAGCCCTATAGTAACCTTTAACGGAACCCTTTCTAGACCCCTATAGTACCCTTTAAAGGGGACCATAATATGGAGCCCTACAGCCCGCAGTAACCTTTAAAGGAATCCTTCTAATATAGGGGCCTTAATAATTTTGAGAGGGTTTTGGGGCCCTTTATGCCATAATTATAATAAGGACCCAAAAGAGTATTGCTAAGTATCAAGCCCCTATATTACAGGAAGTCGGAACTCGTTTAAAGGACCCTACAGTACCCTTTAAGGGGGAGCCTAATACAGAGCCCTAGACTACCCTTCAAGGGAACCCTATTAAGGGATATTTGCAAAGGAACCCTATTAGGTTTTGGAGCCCACTATACCATGACTATAATCGGCCCCTGTATTACAGGAAGTCGGAACCCTTTTAAAGGGCCCTATAATACCCTATAGTACCCTCTAAAGGAACCCGTTTAAAGGACCCTAATATAGATCCCTATAGTACCCTTTAAAGGAACCCTTTAAAGGGCACTATGATACCCTGTAGTACCCTTTAAAGGCACCCTTTTAAAGGACCCTACAGCACCCTATAGTACCCTTTAAACCTACAGTACCCTCTTAAGGATCCCTTTTGAAGGACCCTTAGCCAAGGAACCCTTTTGAATGAACGCGGCCGCAGGTGCAAAAAAGGCTGAGCGCAGGACTTCCCTCGCAGCTCTGAGGAGGCCCGGGTCCTTCTGCTGGGCTCTTCTTCAGGAACTTAGTAGGCATATATTCGGGTTCCTTAAAGGGATCTATAAGGGCTGTATAAGGGTTCTTCTTAGGGAATTTCATTAAAGTTACCATAATTTGTTAATCATAGGGACCCCTAGGGGGGTAGGAGGGGGGTTTGGGGTTTAGGGTTTAGGGTTCTCTGGGCTCTTTTTGTAAGGAATTTGGTAGGGATATATAAGGGTTCTTTAAAGGGATTTATAAGGATTCTACATGGGGCTCTTGTTAAGGAACTTAATTTAGGAGAATTTAAATCCATTGACAAGAACCCAGCCTTCTCTCGCGGGCGAATCTTCTGGAGCATTGATGGGATGGAGGGGACCCTAAAACCGCAGTAGGGTTCTTAATCATTACCTCTCAAAGGAGGGCTTGTATGAGGATTTCTCATCTCAGAAAGTCGAGGTGTTGTTTGGCGTCTCTTGCTGGCTGTAGGGTTGTTTTGCTTCAAGGGAGCTTCCCTAACTGGGTTTTCGGGGCTCCATGGACATGGAAGAAACCGTACCTACCTACCTACCTACCTACCTACCTGCCTATGTATTGTACCGACCTACCTACCGACCGACCGACCAACCTATTGACCTACCGACCTACCTACCTACCCACTCTACCTACCTTACACAGGAAAGTTTCTCCGAAGGAGTCCTAACGGTATGGAACCGTCAAAACACATCCAAAAAAAAGCCTAAGTATGAGTGGGGGGGTACCGGGGTACAGGGTTGTGTTTAAGGGCCCCAATAGTTAGAGTAGGGTGTAGGGGCATGTTGCAGCTTCATGGTGCCAAGGAGCCCTAAAGAAGAACATTGATGTAAACTAAGAATCGCTTTAAGCTCTGGCTCTTGACCGCTTCTTGCAAGTCCTGCTCCGCGAAAAGGGACCTGTGCCGGAAGCTTGGCTTCTTGCAGGTGTACAGGGTAAACCGCAATTCAGGAAAGGTTTCCCTCGCGAGACTGAGAAACCTTGTTGATCAATCTCTCCCAATCTAGATTCCTGCTAGACGTTATGTTATGTTCACTCCCATCCGTCCTACTCGCATCTCCCCTAAACACCTTCCCTATTAGATAAGGTCGTGCTCTTCGATCGAATGCCAGCCCTGAATTTTGCTCTGCGGCTATGCGGTTCAATTGAAGTCCAACCTGTTCTTCTGGTACGTTGCAGAATGTGTTGGCACTTTGCAGTTTACATGCAGTCACAGAAACCGTTAGGCCTGAAAACCCTGTGTCTTCGTTCTAACATCAACTTCCTGATCACCTCCCGACAGGCTTTGCGTACTTTGCAGCAATATCAAACCCACAGACCCTCAACCCTAAATCCTTGCCCTACGACCCTCAGCCCTAAACCCGAAGACCCGAAAGTGCGAATCCTGAGACCGTAGGCCCGAGAGTGCATCAACAGCCGGGGCAGGGTTGTTATTATCGTCAACTCTTGCGCAAGAACTCGATGGGCCACGCCATAGAGTCTGGACTAGGAAGCACACAAAACGAAATGTTGTGCAGACGTAGCACCTTGCAAGCTACACTGGGAGTGTTGATGTTGCTGAAGCTATCGAGTTGGGACCTTCTTCAACCCTCGCGTTTCCTCTCCAGGGTCCTTAGAGCAACGGGCCTTCGGCTTAGGCAAGCTGCAACAGTCTCATGTGCGACACCCTTCATACACCTCTTGATTGGTAAGGAGGTAGGCTCCACCATTTCTGCAGGATTGACGAATGCGGGAGATGTAAACACATTTCCCACATTGGCTTCGGAGGTCCAATGCAGTTCTGACTATACTGAACTTAGAACCCTAGCAAAAATTATAATTTTAGCAAAAATTGAAAATTATTTCTAAGTACCCCTAAGCTGAGGGGTGGGGAGGGGCGCTGCAGAGCTGCAGCAAATGGCCCCTAAACCCTACTTCAAGGATCATGGGACGTAGTAATTCGGGTTATAAATGAGGTATCTCCGGTTATAGCTACTAATAACCCAAATTAAGGTACTTATAGCCATACTGGCCATACTTACTAAGTCCCATGATCCTCCAAGTAAACCTACAAGTGTCATGTCTCAGGCCCATGCTACTGGAGAGAGCCACTGATACGCTCTCAAACATTAATCCTAAACTCCGAAACCCTAAACTCCTAAACCCTAAACCCCAGACCATGATCCTGACAGCTTGAACACTAGGAAATTGCCATTTCAGGGCTCCGGCAGGATCTTCTGCGTGGCCCGGATCTTTGTCGCATGAGCCTGGGAACCATGCTTTTATGGGTACCCACAGAACCCAATACCCCTTCATGAAGGAACATACCTTAAATCATAATATTAAGGCCCCTATAAGTTAAGGAGAACCCAATACCCCTTAATTAAGGAATATACCTTAAATTAGAGGGGCCTTAATATTATGATTCAAGGTATATTCCTTCATTAAGGGGTATTGGGTTCTCTGGGGTACGTCGAAGGCTGTATAGGCTTTATCCGGCTTGAGTTCTACAGGGCTCAAGGGCTTAGGTTTTACATGGGGATACTCGGAGGGCATTATAGGATTTTTAAGAACACTTATATAAACGCTCTTGGAGATTATCTCTAGGAACCCCAAAGGGAACCCTAGATACCCTAAACCACTAAACCCGAAAGCAACAAGTAGGGCCCCAAAAAAGCACATAAGCAAAAATTAGGATAGGGATATCCCATATAAATCCCCTTATAATGAAGCCCAACAAGGTAGGGATATCCCCATAAAATGCTTATGCTTATGTGCTTTTTGGGTTCCCAAACAAGGCAGCCCTTACTTTGAGAAACCCCGAAACCCCATGTGGGTGGCGCCTGCTTCGCTCGGCAGACTGCCGCAACCGCAGCTGCCAGGGCCTTCCCCAGCTGACCCGAGTCCCCCGGCGCAAGAAGAAGCATAACTTAAGAGCCTTAAGACATAGAGTACATAAGATCTTGGGCATATTACATGCACACGTGCACATACATATATGTGTGATGTGAAATGATGCTCATAGATCCTGGGTATATGGTAGAATTATTTCGAAACTTTGCGGATTCACCCTAACCCTAAATCCTAAACCCTAAACCCCAAATCCTAAACCCCAAATCCTAAACCCCAAATCCTAAACCCTAAACCCCAAATCCTAAACCCCAAATCCTAAACCCTAAATCCTAAACCCTAAACCCCAAATCCTAAACCCTAAACCCTAAATCCTAAACCCTAAATCCTAAACCCTAAATCCTAGACCCTAAACTGAGACTTTGGGAAAGACGCACCTTGCTCCTTCGTTCAAGGAGCCTGCCACTTGAAGAGCTGAAGGGTGCAAAGCCATCCCGAGGGCTTCCCCACTTGGAGGGGCAGGGGACTTAGGAAGTAGGGTTATAAGTAGGGCTTTAGTTGGGGTAACTCCATTTAGGGTACTTATAACTCTACTTATAACCTCCAAACAGAGACTCCTAGGATGCCTATCAAAGGCTCCTTCAAGGGCTCCTTTAAGGGTTCCTTTAAGGGCTCCTTTAAGGGCTCCTTCAAGGTCCTTTAAGGGTTCCTTTAAGGGCTCCTTCAAGGGTTCCTTTAAGGGTTCCTTCAAGGTGTCCTTTAAGGGTTCCCGAGGGCTTCCCCACTTGGAGGGGCAGGGAACTTAGTAAGGGTTCTTAAAGGGCTCTTTAAAGGGATCTATAGGGTTCCTTAAAGGGATCTATGGGGTTTAGGGATTAGGGTCTACTTCGAGGGGCAGGGGACCTGGGAAGTAGGGTTATAAGCTACTTACTAAGTCCCCTGCCCCTCCAAGCAGAGGCTCCTAGGATGCCTTTCCAGGGTTCCTTCAAGGCTTCCTTGAAGGGTCCCTTTAAGGGTTCCTTCAAGGGTTCCTTTAAGGGTTCCTTCAAGGGTCCCCTTCAGGGTTCCCATAAGGTTGAGGGTTTAGGCTTAGGGGACTCCAATATCCCTTAATTAAGGAATATGCCTCAAGTCATGGGATTTGGGATCCTGCTATAATTTAAGTATATTCCCTACTTCCCTGCTAGAAGCCTTATAGGTCCCTTGAAGGAACCCTTTCCGGAACACTTAGGTATATTCCTGAATTAGGGGATATTGGAGTCTGCCGGCGCACACCCTCCGAAAGAGTCTCGGGCTTCTGAGTCACATCATCAATCGGAGCATGAATCGGAGTCTTAGCTGATGAATTCATAAGCCCAAAAAGGTGCACACCATCAGTTTTATAGGGGGTAACGTTATCCCAAAAAGTGTAAAGTGTATCCACTCGGCTACTAAGGAGTGGGGCTTTTTGGGGCCCATTGCAGTTTTAGCATGTCGCCTATATAGCCCTAAGCCCTTTATAATTTAGGGACTAACATAGGAACTAGAAGGGGACATAGGGATACCACGACGCAGTCTTCCGACCCCTCTGCCCCTGTAAAGCTCCAACAATGCCGCTTCTCCGCCTGTGCAAGGGCACCAACATACCTTGGAGTAGGAGCAGATGGGACCCGGGACCGGGGGGGTCTTTGTCGGGTTTCGGGTTTTCTGTTTTGAAGCTGACAAACTATGCAGGCCCCTTGCTACACAGATTGCGGTTGTATTCATTCACTACTCGTAGTCGTGTAGCGTTATCCTACACCCTAAACCCTCAAGGATCACGGGACTTAGTAACATAACAGGTTCCCTAAAGGGCTACTTGGTTAGGGTTCCCTTGAAGGTGTCTACATGGGCTCCACAAGGGTTTAGGGCAGTAGGGATCAAACTTCGTAACTAAGGTTGGATTTCAGGAAACTATTGCTATAGTTGCTGAAAGCCCAATGAAGGTACACATAGCCGAGGCTTCTGTGTCGGGAACATGGCGTTAGGCTTTAAGCTTTTCCGGGGTGTGGGAAACCGTACTTGGAGGATCAGGGGACTTAGTAAGTAGGGTTATCAGTACCTTAATTGGGGTTATAAGCAATTATAACTGTAGTTACCTTACCTAAACCCCAATTACTAAGTCCCATGATCCTTCAAGTACAGCAAGTCTCCACACTCTGAGGCCCAAAACCCGGACCCTGGAACCCCACACTTCTTAAGCCCGGAACCGTCATGCCCCATGTCCTGAAATTAGGCTTTGGGGTTCAGGGTTTAAATCCTGCACCTTCAAATCCCGTCATGCCCCATGTCCTGAAATCCTGCACCTTCAGAGGGTTTAGGGCTTAGGGTTTAGGGGGTCTAGGCCTTAGGTACCGAATCCGTCAAAAGCTCAAAACTCGTGAACCCAACAACCTTAAACTCCAAACCTTAGGTACTGCCCCCCATACAGTAAGGGTCTATAATAGGGCTAATATTAAGGTCCTAATATATCTTTGTTATGAACATTATTCAACTATTCCTGAGTGGGGGCCCTAACCCAATCCAAACCCTTGATCCCTGCGACCTGGATCCCCCACAATCCCCTCATCCCCGCAAACCCTGTATCACTACAATCTTTCACCCCTCCTAGACGCAATCGGTACTACATATTTAATTGCCTATACTATTTTGGGGGTCCTTGTTATATTCATGGTATAATGGGCCCCCAAACCCTATTCTAATTATTAGGGCCCCTATGTTACAAGCCTTCAACAATCACACTGGAGCGGACAGGGCACGTGATGTTCAGCAGGGTGATCGGAACTTCAACGAGGCCTGCGGCATAGGGACCCTTAGCGGGGTTTAGGGTTTCCGGGGGGCCGGGGGGTCGGGGACTACACTTCCTTAAATAGGCTTTACGAAACCATTATTACAGGTAACCCGGCAACCCCCCCTACGTAAGGGTCCTTATGACTTCTGCATCGACCCAAGGGTTGCAAAGAGGGGCCAGGACAGATGGACACACTCCGCGGTATCCAGGATAAAGCACACACCTATTTCCAGCAATGTAGGATTATGTCCATCAACAACAGTACTACAACGATGACTATGACTGCTAATCACTGGTGCAATATTTCCTTTCTGATTTTGAGACATTGCGTTCAAGGGGGCTTTGAGGGCCACAGGGCTACTGCGTCTGCGATTTTCGCAACCGTTACAAACTTAAACTCGATGACATCTTCTGTCCATTTGGTCAAGCACCACCTTTATGCCCTGTATAAATATATATATATATATATATATATATATACATATATATTTATATTTATATGTATGTATATATATATATATATATATATATATATATATGCCCCCAACCTCGTCTACCCCTACAAGACGTTATGAGGCTAATGCAATCTGCAACATATCACACCATCATATCATGTATCATGCATCATGTATTTTGCTGCATGAATCATGTACCAACTCAAACCACATCATATCATCTTAGTATAGCATAGCAATATAGCATATAATATCATATAGTCTCATGTCTTGTGTGTATATATACGTATGTATATGTACGCACACACACACATATATATATATATATATGTATGCACATATATCTAAAATATGTGTGTGTATACAGATGTACGTATTTATTTAGTATATTTGTTCCCACTAAACCATGCTCACGGCCTGGAAGAAAGCGTATGGCTAGAGCAGCTTTGGACGGATCCGCCTTCAGGCATACAGAAAGCTGTGAATGGACATTTGCCTTGCTCCGACGGTTCTGTAGAGTTCCTACGCAGGTCCAGGTGTCTCCATACGGCTTGCTTCGAGGATTTGCTTCGGGCTTTGGCTTCAGCCGACTGCATGCTAGTTCTTCACAAACCATTTTTTAACGACAAAAACCCGCGCTTGTTTGATCATGGTGATAATTGCTGCCCATTTCCAGGCAGGATTGCGCCCCTTTGCAGTCGCTGCAACATACCTGCTGGCCTCGACTGGCATCATCTCGTCATCGTCGTCCCACTGCTCCTGCAGCTGCGGGTCGAACGAGTATTGCTAGGCTGTTTTCATGGAGGTTCGGAATGCTCAAACGACACTTACTATACGGGCCTCAATAATTACCTATACTATGTTGGGGGTTTCTTATTAAAACTATAACCTAAAATGGGCCCCGAAACCCTACTCTAATTATTAAGGCCCCTACGATTAAGGCACCCATAGTAGGAGAAGAAGGGATGAACAAAGACCTCTCGTGGATCGAGGCAGAAGCCACAACATAGGGGTTAACATAGGGGCCTTAATAATTAGAATAGGGTTCCTCTAAAAGGGGTCCTTTATGGGTTGCTATAAGGGATTGATACAGGTGCGATAATGTAGGGGCCTTAATCATTAGAACAGGGTTTGGGGGTATCTTATACTAGAATCATGGTAAGGAACCCCATAATAGTATTGGTAATTATTTAGGCCCCTAGATGAGTCGTCACCATCAAAAACCATGGACATTGAATCGTCATCATCAGCATCGTGGTCATCATGTTCGCTTTCAGCTTAATTGTCGGCACCACCCTTTCCAACATCGTATGTGTTTACTGGTTCTGCTTCGCACCTTCGTATCTTCGACTTTTCTGCCTGCACACACCCAGCTGCTCGCTCACCACATGCTAATGACAAATCCGAATCTGCAGATGTCGACAAAAGCTTGCGATTATAGGGTTCAGGGCAGTCCCCTCCCGTTCAAAAGCCTGAGCCCTCGATCTCGCCTCCGGCGCGAGGTGTTCGGCAGCGAACTCGAAAGCCGCACTGCAACAAGGATGCTGCCTCGATCTCACGGACTGCTGCCGGATCACGACCATTGGCCCAGAGCAGAGGGTATCGGGCATGCGTCGCAAAGATGCGAGGGTTGTGCGAGGCTTTGGGGCTGGGTCATGAAAGAATGGACTCGGGTTGTTTGTGGGAGCTTGGTTTCTCGCCAGCCTAGGCGGCACAGACTGATTCCCTGAAGCCGAAACCCCCTTACTGCAAACCCTAACCATAAACCCGTAACACTAAACGTCATCAAAGCTTAAACCTTAAAGCCCAACCCGAAACCCACAACCCCAAAAAACCCTGGACTTCGAATCCAAAACGCTAAACCCTAACCCGTAACGTATCCCTGCCGAAGAGTTGAAGACAAGAAGTTTCCAAAACCGGAAGCTTTGACCCCACAATGGAAGTCGCACGTCTCGGTTCAAATCCGCATCCCTTGTTTAGAGTTTTTGGGCTTGAAGGAAGAAGACACGATAATAGACCATTAGACCATAAGAACAAACAAAATATTGCCCTAATAATATACCATAATTTAAATTACTGTACCGTAATGATATACCATAACATGGTTTGGGGTCGAGGGTTGGTACTAGGCCGAAGAAGCTTCGACAGCCGAAACCCACTGAGGGCGCGGCCCCAGCAGTGCCGGCAGCCTTCCAAGCACAAGTTGCGTGGCGCTCAGTGAACCCTGAAGCCCTCAGCCGTAAACCCTAAATGCCCTACTTGGAAGGGCAGGGGACTTAGTAAGTAGGTTATAAGTAGGGTTATAATTGGGGTAACTCCAGTTAAGGTACTTATAACCCTACTTATAACCTACTTACTAAGTCCCCTGCCCTTCCAAGTAGATGCCCTAAACCTCTAAATCCCAGAACCCCAACATCCTTAACTCCCTCAACCCCAAACCCTACACCCTAGACCTTAAACCACAAACCCCAAACCCTAAACCCCTAAACCCTGAACCCTAAACCCCTAAACCCCTAACCCCGGAAGTCCAAAAAAAAGCCCAAAACCCCAAAGCCGGATAGCCGGGGAGAAGGTCAAAGTTCCTGCAGTTTCAGGGCTCTGGTCTTCAGGTTCTTTTTAGGGTTTAGGGGTTAGGGGTTTAGGGTTTAGGGTTTAGGGTTTAGGGGTTTAGGGTTTAGCAGGGTTTAGGGGGCATTGACCGCATATAACTATCCTTAGTCCAATTCAGGGTTCCCCAATAACCTCTTTGAACTAAGGATACCCTTTCTTACTATTCAACTGCAACAGAGAGATACCCGAATGAAAAGGGCAAAGTGTAGTGCTGGGGCCCATAGAACTGTGGCTACCACTACTATTGCTATGCTTGCCGTTATCTGTGCTGCTGCCAATACGGTTTCTCTCATTGCGTTGTTTATTGTAAGGCTTGGGGTATAGGATTTCGGGCTGCAAGTACTTTGGCCCTCCAAACCTGGAGTTAAGCCGGAGGGCCCTAAACCCGAAAGCCCTCCACGTAAACCCAAAACCCCAAAATCACAAAACCTCAAAAACCCCTTAACCCTAAACCCTAGAAACTCAAAACCCTAAGCTAAAGAAAAAACTGCTGGGGTCCCCGGGCCTCGTCAGCGCCGCGAAGATGTCACCAAGTGACCTCGCGGGCTTCGGGTTTGGAGTTGAGGGTTTAGGGCTTGAGGCTTCTATGGCTCAGGCTTTTAGGTTTCGGGGTTCAGGGGTCAGGGTTAGGTTGATCCTACTTATGCACTGCACTACTCGGCCCCAACATGGCTAAACTTACCTTTGGTTCGTAGGGAAAGGAAGAATGGCAGTAATAGTAGCTATAATTGTACCCCATTCCTCCATTCCCTACCAAAGGTAGATAAGTTTGAATTTGGGTGGTTGTCAAAATTATGACCCCTTTTGGGGTACCCTAAATAGTGGGTGCCGTATTGTAATCTGGATCCAAAAAGGGACCATCATTTTGACAACCCCCCGTTTGAAGGACGATGGCGTGGAAATTGACTCTTAGGGCCGGGGTTTGAGGCTCTGTGCCCGCCACTCTGATCCAGAGCACTCGGATTCCGATCCAGCCCTAAATTATACTGTGGGGGCCTGAACAATCAGAATTGGGTTTTGGGGCGCAGTATACCATAGCTATAACAAGGAAGCCCCCAAAATAGTATAGGTAATTATGCGGCCCCTATATTCAACCCCTGAGCCTTCAATCAAGCTAAAACGGGACCTCAGGCCCCCAAACCCCAAACCCCTACTGCTCTGTCAAGAAGTGAACCCACCATCCCAAACTCCGGAAGGCATGCCAACCTAAACGTTCTGAGATCACCCTAGCTGCTGGTTCTGTGATGGGCCAAGACCGAATATTTTCGCATCTTCCTCGCATGACTTCTGCCAGTAGTACAAGAGCGATAGACCACTCCATGCCTTTCCGACATTCCTATGCCTGCACATGCCGAAACATAGCTGAGGAAGCTGGCTCATCAGGCAGCAGCTTCGAGATAGCGCGCAGCAGCGAAACGGCCTCTGGCTGTTGCTGCACCCAGTTCAGGCTGCGTGTTGGGCAAGTTTACGTGTGTGGTTGGGCTTTGTGTGGGATTGTAACTGATGAGCTTGTTTTGCACGCGCCGGGCATTGAATCTCTCTTTTGCGCCGATTTTTTTATTTGTGTCGCAGCACACGGGCAAAGGCAGAAGTCTGCGGTTTCGGGCATCTTGCTGCTCAAGTTTTGGGCTGAAATCTGAGCCCTGGGAAGTAGTTTTTCTGGTATAAGCGGTGACTAAATACAGTTATAAGTGTATGCTTATAACTGAAGTCATTAGAGCCATAGTTTAAGTACTTATTCATTAGAGCCATAGTTTAAGTACTTGTTCATTAGAGCCATAGTTTAAGTACTTATTAACTCCAGTAGAGCCCCGCCATTTCGAGACCACCTTAGACTGCTTGCTGGGCTCGCTCGGGGTCTCAGGCGCTCTCGGCTTTTCGGTGGCTGCGCGCTACCCTTTGGGAGTTTCCGAAAATATGGGACCCTAATATAGTACCTTTTGTGGTAGGATCCTTATTATACCCCTCCTTTTCGGAAACTCCTGTTTTGATCATCCCGGTTCCTGCGATCAGACGAACTCCCGAAACCTCATCCACGCGGGTTGATCCAAACTGCCGTTTCCTGGCACTTGCCTAGCACGCTTATGGTTTATCGTAGTACGGACACAAGGAGTCATCTTCTTTAACAACCCTCTGTACTCTGAAACCCCTAATTAGGCAAGACTGAAACCAATCTCTCCTAGCCAGGCTAATCCGAACTTTAGCCTTCAAGCTCGAAATGCCCGAAAGCCTTAAATCCCAAAACAGCTGGGCTACCCCACACGCTGCGCCGGAATCTCCTCAGCGCTCGCCTGTCTCCGGTGGAGCTTGCCGTACCGTGTTGTGGATCCTCTTAAATGCCGTTCTTCCTAGTCTTCATTGTACTCGCCTTTAATGTTGTCATGATTACATTGCTCATTTCGGTAGGTTCTATTCGTATCAGTGCCACCAACGCCATTCCTCTGCTTTGTTGCTTGTGGTCTCGCTCTCTGGAACGGGCTCGTCCCCTGCGCCTTAACCACCCACCTGCCAGCATGTATGTCTTACTTGCAAGGCTAAGCCGTCCAACCATAAGTCTCAAGCCCGGAACCCTTAAATCGAAGGGGAAAAGGAGGGACCCTTAATGGGGACCCCTGGGCTATATAATGGGCTATGTAATGGGTGTATAATAGCTATATGAAGGGCAGATACCTAAGGCTCCTTATTAAGCGTCCCTCCTTTTACCCTTGGATTAAATCCGAAACCTAAACCTGTTCAGGATGTGCAGTTCTACCTGATGCTCGTTCTCCCAGACCCTGTATGGGTGGTTGTCAAAACTATGCTCCCTTCTTGGGTGCCTATCATAATACGGCACCTAATATTTAGGGTGCCCAAAACGGGGACCCTAATTCTGTCAACTACCCCATATGCAACTTCAGACTCAAAGGTCCGAAGCTATCAAACCCTAAACCACACACCCCGAGCTCCAAAACCAAAACCTCCAGCCCTGAAGCCCTAAGCCCGAAACCCTTAAGCCAAGAGTCTTAAGCACAAAGACCCGAAACCCTAAAGCCCTAAACCTCAAACCGAAACCCTGGGTGCTTCGGTTGATGGTATAAATCCTGCATGACCCATAATGAGGAGTATACCATAATTCCCATAGTTTAGGGTTCTTAAGGTAATGCAGGATTTATACCATCAACCCTAAACCCTAAACCCTAAACCCTAAACCCTACTCCTACTCCTACGGGGCCTTCTTATCTGATCTCGCCGACTGCAGCATCTGCGTGAGGTGCTGCACGGCAAAGTCGACGGTCTGCTGATCCTTCCGGTGTCTTACCTATGGGATCTATAGGGCTCCTTTAAAGGGATCTATAGGGCTCCTTTAAAGGGATCTATAGGATTCCTTTAAAGGGATCTATAGGGGTTTAGGGTCCATTTAAAGAGATACTTACCCATGCTTAGTAGGGAATGGAGGAATGGCGTGGAATTATAACTACTATTACGACCATTCTTCCATTCCCTACTAACCAAAGGTAAGATTCTAAGATAATTATTAAGGCCCCTATACTATAGTACCCTTATAGATCCCTTATAGTAACCCTTATAGACCCCTTTATAAGGCGTTGAGTCGCAGCTTTTGCATCAAAGCCCAGGGTTTCGGGTTTGGAGCTTAGGAATGTCTACTTAAAGGATCATGGGACTTCGTAATTGGGATTATAAGTAAGGTAACTACAGTTCTAACTACTTATAACCCCAATTAAGGTACTTATAACCCTACTTACTAAATCCCATGATCCTCCAAGTAGGGTGAGGTTTAGGCTTTGCGGGGCGCAGGGAGGGTGTAGAGGGGGCCGTGAAAAATCGCTGGGCAAAGGAAAGCCTTTTTCTTTTAATTCAGCCGACAGCCTCGCAGATTCCAAAGAGCTTTAAAGGGAACTCCAGAAAGTTGGAATATGGATTAATGGTAGGATCCCCTATAATTTACCTTAAAGGGGTTACGATCATGATATTCCAACTTTCTGGCTTCTACTGTAGTGGTACTGTTGATGACATAAATCCTGCATTACCTTAATGGGATCCTAGACTGTGGGAATTATGGTATATTCCTTATTATGGGTAGTGCAGGATTTATATCATCAACCGTATCACTTGAAAGACTCTGGTCCAGGCGAGGCTGAATACCTCCCACCTCCAGTCTTCAGATACTCGGCAAAGTCAGAGTCCATGCATTCAAAACCTCATGCTATAACGTAATATGATACAGTATAACATAAAATAATGTAATATGTAATCATGTCATATAATATAGTACAACATGCTAAAATCCAAACAAGAAAACCCTAAACCCTAAACCGTGAGAAGCTGGAGACCCGAATGTCGTCTAGAACTGCTTTGCTAGCACCAGTGAGGTAATGCGTTGTCCTTTAAGCCCTTTGAAAATTATTTACCATTATGGTTCTCTACAAAATAGAAGGGGAAATTGAAAAAGATCCCAAAGGACAACCCAGCGAAATGCTGGACTCCTGAGCTCGATCAAGCTCTTCACAAAAGCGTAATCCTAAACTTTTTCGGAAGACCGCCCAGCCTGGACTTCAGCCCAAGCACACCCCAGAGCCTCCAATATCCCTTAACTAAGGAATATACCTTAAAGTACAGTAGGATCCCTAATATGATTTAAGGAATATTCCTTAATTAAGGGGTATTGGAGTCTCTGGGACCCGAGCCAAGCAGCGAAATTTTCAAAACCTTCGAAGGCCCTGAAGATCCGAAACACACGAAAAAGCACGAAGGATTAATGTAGGAAACCTTGGGCCTTTATTAAAGTTCCTTTAAAGGGGGCCTATAAGGGTTACTACAAGGGATCTATAAGGGTACTAGAATAATGTAGGAACCTGATTAAGAAACCTTGGGCCTTTATTAGGTTTCCTTTACAAGGGTCTATAAGGATTACTATAAGGGATCTATAACGGTACTATAAAGATGTAGTAAGTAACCTGATCAAGAAATCTTGGGCCTTTATTGGGATTCCTGATATGAATCCCACTACTTTGGGGTTTTAGGACCAGCGTTTCTTAATCAGGTTCCTACATGAAAAAGCACGAAGGGCTCGGAAACCTGCCTTTGCGTCCGCAGCCCGCTTCAACAAGGACACTGCAGAGAGTTCCGCCTGCTTTCGAAGGGCTTCCGTGACTTGGAGTGTGTGGAAAATTCTCGCGCTGCAGAGCTTAGGGCGTTAAACTCTCAACTCCTCAACCCCTGAACCCTTAAACACAAAACCCCGATACCCTGAACCCTGCGAGAATCCTAGGTTTAAGGTTAGGTTGAGCCTTTGCTTGCAAGAGCTCTGATGAACTGGGAAGCCCCAGGAATCTTGGATTGCTGTTTAGTAACGTCAGGGTTTACGGCTTAGGGCGTAGAGTTCAGAGTGCCACAAACACTTTAGGTAGGGGTTATAGGTAACTATGTCTACAGCTGCCTTACTTATGACACTTAGTGATCTCCATGTTCCTTTAGGTGGGAGTCAGGCCTCCTCGGCACGCTCGGAAGTCATACAAAAAACATGGGCTTAGGGTTCTTCAATGCTGTTGTAGGGTTTGGTCCTATAACACCAACATCCGGAATATTGGACCTTAACCTTCAAACTCTCTTGCCCCAAACCTGAAGCCCCAAAACACCTTCCTGCCTGTCTCCTCACCGTCGTCCTCGCGTCACTGAGGAGTGCGAAGGCGGGCTTCAAGACCTGCGCTTACTCAGAGACTCCAAAACCCCACAAAAAGGAGGGACCCTAGGTATATACCCTTGATATAGCTATTATATACCCATTATATGGCCCATTATGGGGTAGGGGTCCCCATTAAACGGAAAAAAACGGGAATCACGAACAGGATTCCTAGACCCTCAGCCCTCAAGCCCCCTTGTAGTTTAAGGTCTATTCCTTGCTCGAGGGGTTTTGAAATTTCTGCTTTGGGTGCATGGAGTTTTTGAATTCTCAAGCTTTGTATGCTCCATAGGGCTTTCTAAGTCTTTCGGGGGTTCTGCAGGAGTTTCATAAGGGTTTTATGGGCTATTAAAGGTGGTTCTACAAGGGTGCTGTGAGGTTGTTGTAAGGTTTATGATTTACATGTTGTGGGGTTTAGGGGCTTTCGCTTTCGGCATGTGGGCTTGGCGCATTGGGGACATGCGGGTTCAGGTAAAGGTTTAGGGTCTTTGGAGCTTAGGGTTTCGGGGTGTCGAGGTTTGGAGCCTTCGGCCAGGGCAACGAAACGTCCGATCCTCCGATCTTACACCCTGTTCCTTCTAATCCAGCTCATGCCGGCAAGGAAGTCTCGCTGGGAGTCTTAGTGCTTGGAGTTTCATGGGACCTTAAGCAAGGCACACTTCGATTGGATCTAACTCCGTAATTGTGGCTACCCGGTTTAGGGTTTAGGGTTTAGGGTTCAGGGTTCAGGGTTTAGGGTTTATAGCCCCCTTTAACATGCTGCCCACTGAATCCCCCGATCAAGCGCGGTTGGGCCTTGCGGTTGGGCCGCCCATTCGCATTGTAGCAGGCCTGTCGCGTTCCAGAAGCAGCTTCCAATTCGGGCTGCACGGAATCGCAAGAGCCTGATTCCGAAACCCTTGATCCTTACGGGGGCGCTTCACTGTGGAAACTGTAATCGTTCCAAAACTTCCGACTGGAAGGTTCACCGAATTCTGAAACCCGAAACCCTGAATTGTAACCCGAAACCTTTAGGTACCCGAAGCATCAGCAATAGTAGCAGCAGCCGTAAACTTACATCAGCGATAGCAGCAGCAGCCCCAAACCTTGAACCCTGAACCTCAACTGCAGTACCGTAAACCCCCAAAATCTGGGTCATCTTGGTGCTTCACCTTGGTGATTGGGCACGGAACAGTTTTCCAGAGGTTTCATTTCAAGCACAGTCAAGCTACGAAAGTCAGGAACGCTGCCATCAGACTAGTCTTGTTTGAGTTTACCGCTTGTGACTTGAAGGCTCCACAAAATGCCGCTTTCTGAATCCCAAACCGTATACCTGTAAACCTGCAAACAACCCTCAAACAATCGAGGCACAGCCAGGACATTTTCAACCCGGGTCCTGAACGGCGCTCAGGAAAATGACGGTGTTGGGATTCGGGATTCTTGGGCAATGGAAACCCAGAAAGGCAAATTACCAGCGCCTCTGCTGTCGACGTCAAACAAGCGAGGGCCTTGTCTGGGCTTTCGGAGTTTGGGTGGGGTGCCATTTAGGGATCTTGGCCGTCACGATCTTGTTTTCTGCGGGCCTGCACCCGAAACCCTAAAACCCGAAATCTCAACGCCTGAACCGTTCAATATGTTCTGAATAAGCTCTCTCCATGCCTTTATCTGTCGCAAGTCTTCTACTTGGAGGGGCAGGGGACTTAGTAAGTAGGGTTATAAGCAGGGTTAAAATTTGGGTAACTCCATTTAAGGTACTTATAACTCTACTTATAACCTACTTACTAAGTCCCCTGCCCCTCCAAGTAAGTTTTGTAGGACTTAGGTGTTTTCGGGTGCGGGCTTTTGTCTTCAAGGAGTCAGAGTTGAGGGTGTGGCTGAGAGTTGCGGGGCTTTGGGATCCTGAACTCTGAACACGGGCCCAGAGAGCCCAATACCCCTTAATTAAGGAATATGGCTTAAATTATATAGGGCTTAATATTATGATTTAAGCTATATTACTTAATTAAGGGGTATTGGGCTCTCTGGGGGATCCGCAAGAGGAGGAAAGTAGGCTTTTTGAAGCCTTCATGCCGAATGGCAGTCTAGGGAGAATGCAGAGGCCTGAATAAGCAGACTTGGGACCCTTGGCGGGTGTTATGCTAAACCCAAGATTTCTTGAGCAAGCACTCAGGAATTCTACTGGTGCTACGAATTGCTGAGGCCCCCGACTGTATTTTGGGATTTAAGCACACCACCCACAAACTCCAATATCCCTTACTTAAGCGATATCTTGTTTAAATCATACTAGAGATCCTACTAAAATTTAAGGTATATGATCGGTATATGCCGTAATCAAGGGATATTGGGGGTCTCTGGGAAACTCTGAATCCAAGAACCACCCCGGGGAAATCCCTCCGCGCTTCGGTGCTTCGGGAATGGAGCGGAAATTTCTATAATTTAAGGTATATTCCCACATTCCCTTCTAGACCCCTTAATTAAGGAGGGTTTAGGGTCTAGGGCCTGAATTTAGGAGTTTAGGGTTTAGGGTTTAGGGATGAGGATCCCTGTAAGAGACCCTTAGGCAGAGTCCTTAACTAAAGGATTTTGGAGTCTCCGGGAATGCTCAGGGTTTCGGAGCCTTGTCTTTGTGGCTCCATGCCCCCTTCCATGTTTGGGGCCTTAGCAGTCGAGGTCCCATAACACCCGTAAACTAAACCTCTACCGAAAAAAACCGAAAAGAATTTATGAAAGCTCTACAAACAACCGAAAGGAACCTATAGCACCCTGTTTAGACGAAAACAATGGCATCGCCTGCCGCACGACCGCGTCGCTGGACTGGCTCCGAAGCCTACTTGGAGGGGCAGGGGACTTAGTAAGGGCTCTTAAAAGGCTCCTTAAAGGGATCCATAAGGTTCCTTAAAGGGTTCCTTAAAGGGCTCCTTAAAGTGCTCTATAGGGTTCCTTAAAGGGTTCCTGAAAGGGCTCCTTCAAGATCTCTATAGGGTTCCTTACAGGGTTCCTTAAAGGGATCTATGGGGTTTAGGATCTACTTGGAGGGGCACGGGACTTGGTAAGGGTTCTTAAAGGGCTCCTTAAAGGGATCTATAATGGGGTTTAGGGTTTAGGGTCTACTTGGAGGGGCAGGGGACTTAGTAACTAGGGTTATAAGTAGGGTTATAATTGGGGTAACTCCATTTAAGGTACTTATAACTCTACTTATAACCTACTTGCTAAGTCCCCTGCCCTTCCAAGTAAGATCTTCGACTCTTTGGACTTCCCGGAGTTTGGAGATTCTTTAGGGGTTCGGGGGTTTAGGGGTTTAGGGGCTTATTGGTTTAGGGGTTTAGATGTTTGCCTGGCAATCAGCTCTTACCACACATGCTCTTTTTGAACCTTCCTGCAATTGCAGTTGCCTTCCAGCCAGGCGACGGATAGTTCGGTGGTCGAGGGATGGCCTGCCGCATCATCTGGCACGCCCAAGAAAGTTTCTTCCAAGTGCAACAATTCCAGCAGCCTTCTTGGCTCGAGGGAGTGCCGGAGGCCCGGTTTGGCACGCGCAAGAGAACAATTCATCATCTTACGGCTCCCAAGACACAGGCTGGTGGCGGTGTGCTGTCTTTGCACTTCGGAGCAATACACCGGTGCATACTGCACAAAGAAGCAGACAGGCAGGACTGCGCAGTATTCCAGTATAGACGAACTAACTCCCGACTAATTACAACAGAAACATCCTCATGCAGAGTAATTGTCGGAGCGTTCTTGGGTGCTCTCCATGGTGCCTGTTCCAGGGCTTGTCAGAGCCAGCACCAAAGCCTTGCAACTCACGATCCCAAGTTGCGACAAACCCGACATCCTGGAAAAACCCACAACCTGGAAGGACACCATGGACCCTTGAATATGCTCCCCCCGAAACACCGTAATAACCCGGAAAGCAAACATGACAGATAGTTGAGTAGTCGTTAACCCCTCCCCTACGATTTCTCCAAACTTTCGAATCGCAGAAAATCAGGGACCTTGATACACGCCCCAAATGCTAGGATCCCTCTTAGAAGAACTTCCAAAACGTGAAACTTCGATTCCCTCTTCTTAGGGACCCCAAAAGCACAGAAGCATAAGCATCTTATGGGGATATCCCGACCTTGTTGGGCTTCATTCTAAGGGGGTTTATATGGGGTATCACTATCCTAATTTTTGCTTATGTACTTTTTTTCGGCCCTATCTTCAAGCATCACAAGACCGGAGCCGCAGGTTTCTGGGAGCCCGCGCGCCGGGGCCAAAGCCGCTACCACATCGTTGAGGCCTTGGAATACCCAGACCCCCGGGAGGATCTATAGGGTTCCTTTAAAGGGATCTATAGGGCTCCTTTAAGGGGATCTATAGGGTTTAGGGGTTTGGGGTTTAGGGAATAGGGTTTAGGGAAAGTAGATCCCCTAATTTGGGGCCCTGTACTACTAAGGGTACTTAATAGGAACCCCCATTAAGGGATCTACTTTTTGGATCCTCCCGGGGGTCTGGGTAGTTCCCGACAACATTCTCAAACATGGGTGGCCTGTATACGTGCTTACTACAACTGACCCAGACCCGGCGCCTAAACCCAGAACCACAAACGCCGAATCCTAAACCCCAACTCCTAACCCCTAACAACACCCAAGCCTCCAAACCCCTAAACCCCATAATATAGGGGCCTGAATAATTAGAGTAGGGTTTGGGGTATAATATACAATTCTAACAAGGAACCCCCAAAATCGAGTAGGCAGTTATTGAGGCCCTAAACCCCGTAAGCTTTGAGACTCCCGACGGGAGCCCGCGACGGAGGCTTGCACAGCCGGCAGCGCCCTTCTGAGTATAAGAAGGAGCGGCGCAACAGCGGCCTGACAAGCAACTTGGAAGGGTTTGTTGTGGGGGCCTAAATAGTTTCCAATACTCTTTTGGAGCGTTCAAGCTATATTTAGACTACAGTCTACCCCAACACACCATGCTAAGTAGTACGGCCCTCATGCTAAGGTTTATGGCCTGTAAGGTTTTGGGCTTATCTTATCTGAGGGTATAGGATTTTAGGGCTGACGGTTTAGGGGTTTAGCAGCGTTGGATGTGGCAGAGGCGCAGGTTTGCACCAAGACTGGCACGTGGAGCCTAAACCCGGAAGATCGCTACAAGAAAACCGCTCTAGACCCCACCTCCCACCGTTTCCAATAAAAAGCCACTCTGTGCCTCCGCATCCCCGCTCTTCTGCAGTGCCGCCACCTGCGCCAGAACCCGAAGACACCCGGAAGGGCTTGGAGAACTGGAATTTGGAGCTTCTTTTTGAGAGTCTTTTTCCAAAAGGAATTTGGAGTTTAGGGTTTAGGGTTTCGGGTTTGGGTGGATGCCAGGTAACTATGGTTGCCATGCTTCTTGACTATGGCTCTATAGTGTGATTCTGGGGGTGTTCATATGTCCATGAAGATCGGGAAACCTTGTGGTATGTTCAACTTTGCGATTCTGAATGCTCAGATATCGGGTGATGCTAGATGAAACCGACTGATGACGTACCTACTAAGCCCTTCTATTTTTCAAGTATCCCCTAAGCCTAAATCTCATTCAACCCACATCAAGCCCTATACAACGCTGTCAAGCCCTTGAGGCAAATCCACCAAACCTGCTGGGGTTCAGCCTGTAGCTTATAAGGTTGTCTTTTCAGCACCTTTTTCCGCCTGCCTATCTGTCTAGCTTATAAGGTTTAGGTTTCGGGGTTCGGAGATTTCAAGGTGTTCTTGTCTAGAACCTAACTATTTGGATCCTCACAATGAAGACCCGCTCATGGTTCTCCGAATCAGGGTTAAGATATTCGAGGTCTTAAGGTTTGGAATTTGAATGTTGGGATCTTGCCACAGTGAAAATATCAGTGAAGCACCTCCTTCCTCGCCAGCAGCTACAGGCAAATGGGCTTTCCAGTAGCTAATGTAGGGGGCCTTGATAATTAGAACAAGGTTGTTTTTGGGGGCCTTTATACTATGGTTATAATAAGGAACCACCAAAACCGTATTGGTAAACATGTAGGCCCCTATACTAAATCCTTATGATAGCCCTTATAGTAGCCCTTACAGACCCCTTTAAAGGAACCCCATTCTAATCATTTAGGCCCCGTCAGTGCTTGTACACCTCCCTTTTTCGGCTCGAGCTCAACTCTGCAGACATTAGCAAATCGTTAGCAATGCATCCATCGGCTGAAAACACTTACTTCCCCTATAAGCCACAGAAAGGAAACGTTAAACTTTCCGGTTACGACTAAACTATAAGAGCCCCCAAAGTTTATATTAAAGGTCGGCAATTGGGGAACTATGAACAAATGCTGGAAAGACAACGCATATCCCCAAGCTTGAACAAGCGAAGCAACATGCTGCACACCGTTTGATCACCTTTCATGACTGCGAGAGGGTTTGGAGTTATGTCATAGTGAAAGATGGTATGCGTATAGAAGGGTAGGCAACTCCCAAATCTTCAGGCCTCGTGTATTCTGCTAAATTGAGTCATATCTTACCCTATTGAGCTATATTGTGATATATCACGTTGTACTGCTACCCCATCAAGAACTCTCTGCCGCGCCGTGGCCGCGAAGTAAGCTGCCGCGTTGTTCGCACAGCGATTCTGGCAAATGACGGAGCGCATGGCCTTAGAACCAAAGGGAAGGGTACTAGAAGGATACTGCAAGGTTGTACCGGCGCATAAGGGTACTGTCGGGGTACTGACATTGATGAGACGAAGGTTAGATCGGGTGTGGGCTTCTAGGATGCTACATACTCTTACTGCTGGCACGAACTACTCCGTCATACGTCGCTGACACCTCACTTGAGGAACACGTTCCTGTAGATATCACGCTGAAGCTGTAACACAAGGGCCTGCATAACTAGAATCGGGTTTGGGGTATATTATGCCATAACTATGAAAAGGAACCTCCCCCCAAAAAATTGTGTTGGTAATTATTAAGGCCCCCCTTGTACTCAAAAGCTCGTGACCCAGCAGCTTTTCGGACTTGCGCGCTGCTTAGAACCCCGACACCCTGCCCCGTAGCTATGTGAATCCACCTGCCCAAACTCCAAACTCAAGACTTGACGAAGTTCCCCTCAAGCTCCAATCTGTTCCATTCTTGAGAACACACGTTACTACCCTAAACCCTCGACCCCTATACCCTTATAGAATCCCTATAGATCCCCTTAAAGGGGCCCTAATAACTACCCATGACTTTGAACCCAGACTCGCAACCCAACGCCCGAGCCCAGCCCAGGAAAGAGCCGCTTGGCCTGGAGGCAGGTGGACGCTGCTTGGCACGCTGCATCCTGGGCCCATAGCACCCCTCTGAGTTATAGTCCCCAGAGATCCCAATACCCCTTTTCTAAGAAATATACCTTAAATCGTAATATTAAGACCCCTGTAATTTCAGGTATACACCTTAATTAAGGGGTATTGGGTTCTCTGGGTTAGGAGTCGAGGCTCAAACTGAGGGTTTTGGAGATTCAGCAAGCACCCGTTTCGTGGGCATGCCTTGCTGCTGTACGCTATTCGGAAACTTGCATAGATACGTACACACAGCTGTGAGGATATATGGATGTACGTGTATCAACTTTCGTATGAAATGTGTATGTATATACATACATACACATGTATGTATGTATGCATGTATACGTATGGTTATGTATGTGCAACGGTGTGTGCAGGTGCATGCATGCATGGAGGGAGGATCTATCTATGCAGCACTATGTACCTTATCTCTCTATTTATGTGTCTCTCTCCTTCTCTCTCTCTCTCTCTCTCTTTCCGCCTGTCTGTCTGCAGGCGTAGATGTAGGGGTTTGCGCAGGTGCTTGCCTAAGTGAGAGGTGCAACTGTATGCGTGTGCGACCTACGTGGGAGTATGCGTACCTGTAGATACGTGTGTTGAAACAGCTCCTATTCCGGTTATCTTGAGCCCTTTCAAAAAGTGCAGCTGCACATCGACTACCACGATTCCGCAGGCAGCTTAGGCCCTACACTGCGTGTACATGAAACTCCCCATTCCCTATGGCTGCACCCAAAACAGACCAAACACTACAAAAACTCGAAAGCCCTCAGAAAAGCAACACCGGAGGGATCTTCTGGAAGACGAGCAAACTCCTTCCGACCACTGCTGGGTACCCGAACACCCCTTGCAGCCGCAGCATCCAGGTCCCTTGCCGCAGGAGCGGCCGTGTGTTCCAAGGGTCGGGTTTGGGAAATGCACGAAACATGGCGAAGTATATTCCAGCATATTATAGTATATATTGGTACACTACAGTTAGCATGTTGCCGTATGTTGTAGTACGGGTTTGGGGTTGATGGTTCAGCAGGTTCGTGTTCAAGCCGGGGTCGAGAAACAAACTACTAAAGAGCAAAGCTATCGACTGAGCATTGCATATGCCAAGCCACAGTACAGTAGAAGCCAGAAAGTTGGAATATCATTATCGTAACCCCTTTAAGGTAATTTATAGGGGATCCTACCATTATTCCATATTCCAACTTTCTGGATTTTACCTTATTCTTGACAGCAACAACAAGACGACCATGTGATGCAACCACGTCGAACATGAGCACACAGTTGGCTCCCACTCGCTGGCAAACCGTGATGCTGCGCCACTGCTAATTACGAATGCCTGATGGTGCCTTACTAAGACACATGGGTCCACGGCTCCTGCCAGAATTACTCATTGCCAGATGTCCCGGACACGGACACACGGACAAGGGTTTACTCAGTTTGACCTTCTTCCAGAACTCTTTGTCTTTACATGCCATCCTCAAGCGAAATCATTACCCAGATCTAGCATTGCCTGCAGCAAGAAGCCTGAGGGAATGTCAGGTGATTCTCTTGTCCTGCGGTTTTTGTGGACCCTGAAACATCCTGAAACCGCAAAAAACCCACAAGCTCTAATAGACTAAACACGCCCCCAAAAGTTGTACAAGCATACAGCTGTCGAATGTTTTTGACCCCCAAACCCTACACCCGAAAAATTCACACAAAAGCACTAAACTCCAAAACCCCAAACCCTAGACCCTAAAGCCCTAAAGAACTCTGAAGCCGTAACGCCCCTCAAGGAAAGACCGAGCCGATGCCTGACGAAAGCTGGGTCGGAGTCCATGGCGGAGCGTGGGGTTGAGAGGCAAAAGCCGAAGTCTACGATTTGCGATTTAGGGCTTAAAGGGAACTCCAGAAAGTTGGAATATGGATTAATGGTAGGATCCCCTATAATTTACCTTAAAGGGGTTAGGATAATGATATTCCAACTTTCTGGCTTCTACTCTAGGGTGTCGGGCTTTTGCTTAGGCTTTAGGGTGCAGGGCTGCGGGTGGAAAGTATAGTGTCGGGTCGAGGGTTGCTGGATTTATGGGAGTTTCCGAAAATAAGGGACTCGAATATGGTACCCTAAATACTACGGTTGATGATATAAATTCTGCATGACCCATAATAAGGAATATACCATAATATCCATAGTTTCGGGTCATTAAGGTAATGCAGGATTTATATCATCAACCGTAGGATCCTTAATATAGGGACCCCCAGCACAGGTACCCCAGCTTTTGGAAACTCCCATTTGGGTGGGTGTCGATGTTGCATGGGCTTGCAAAGCCTCGGACGGGTGGGCAGGTGTCTTCCTGTCTCGGAGAATATTCGGATAAAGCCCGCAAGCACAACTCTTTGAACTCCTAGCTTCTGGAGCTTGTACTTCCTTGGAGGAAGACTCTAATCTCCAAGAACGGGTTGGCAGAATAGTTTGCCTAGTCATGCAGTGTAGCCGCCATCTCCCACCATCCGAAACGGCTTCGAGAGGCGGGTCGGAGTCTGGATGGGTTTTGCTGTACGGGGCCCAAGTACAGTAAACCGTAGAAAGTTGGAAACCGGATTAAGGCCAAATAGTGCTGGAATTCCCTATACATTACTCTTAAGGATCGAGGCTATGGAGTTTCCAACTTTTGGGCTTCTACTGTAAGGGGTCTTGAGTTCCGCTCCCCGGCAGCCCCGGCAAACATGGCTGGACTCCGATTACAAGGCATCCCGAACGTGAACTAGACCTATGAAGTCCTCCGAGAACTGATGAAACCAATGTAAACCCCACCAAAACCCTCCATGCACACTTCCAACTGTCAAGGTCTTGGACAGATCAGGCGTTGCTCGCGGGCTATTGGTCACGATGCGTTGCGGTCTGGAGATATCAAGTACACATGAAACCAGCATCCTGATGTTGACTCATTCATAGTGCAGGTTGTCACTGATTTTAGCGGTTTGCGACTACGACAGCTCGGCCTTGTGTACTACGGCAAGCGCCCATGTGGGATCGTGATGTCGGAAACCAAATACCTGGCTCTAAATAAGAAGTGCTGGCCAGCTTCTTGATTCATAATTGGCTTGGCAGGCTGTCAAATCATCTACTGAAACGCAAACGGCGAGAACCGAAAGAGTGACGACTACATCCATGCTCACACACCTCTCAGTTTGAGCCATGGAATATTCCTTATCTATGTCAACAACTCTAGATCCCTCTACGACCGCCTTCTGACCGATGGAATAGTCTTCTTTACGGGGTACTGGACTCTCGACACCTTAAACCCAAAACCCTCTAAATCCTAAACCCTAACCCGAAACCCTCTAAACCTTAACCCAATACCCAAAACTCTAAACCCAAAACCTAACCCAAAACCCTACTATACTGAACTTAGAACCCTTACAAAAATTATAATTTTAGCTGTTTCTTAGGGATTATAATAACCAAAAATTAAAAATTATTTCTAAGTACCCCTAAGTAACAGCGACAAGACCAGATCCGCCCGGGTGAACTCCCACCTGTCGCCCTTAGGCTTCTTCTCCTTCTCGGTTTAGGGCTTAAGGGTTTAGGGTTGAGGGGTTTATGGTTTAGGGGTTTAGGGCTTAGGGGTGTAGGATTTAGGGCTTCGGGGTCTAGGGCTTAGGGTTTAGGGGTTTAGGATTTAGGGCTTTAGGGGTTTAGGGTTTAAGGTCTAGGCTCAGAGCTGGGTGCTGTTTTCGCTTTCTTGGGACCTTTGCCTTTAAGAGCCCTGTGACAAAAGAGACTAAGCTCTGATCTCAGGGTCTGGGCTTAGGATTTAGGGAGTTTCCGAAAATGGGGGACCCGAATATAGTACCCCAAATAGTAGGATCCTTATTATAAGGACCCCAAAATAAGAAAGCCCCCCCCCTAATTTTCCGAAACTCCCATTTAGGATTTAGTCAGGAGTTCGGGCTGAGGGTTTCGGGTTCAAGCTTTAGGGTTGAGAGCTTAGGGGTTCAGAGTTTAGGATTTAGGGTTTAGGGTTTACGGTCGCAGTCAGGAAAAGAGCTACGAGAGACCTATCTATAAGAACGCCTGAAGTCTAGGCCATCTGAAACAGCAGGAGGCCGCTTAGGAGGGCAAATCTCGTGGTGAGTTCTATCTTGCACAGACGTACACCGAATGGTCGCACGTCTGTGGCAATGCGGGGGCCTGAGTAGCGAGACTGGAGTTCTGGGATGAATTATCGTGTTTTTAATACAGCTATGATAAGGAATCCTAACTCATACCGTTAAATTACTACTATGAATCAATCAGAACCCCAGAGAACCCAATACCCCTTAATTAAGGTATATACCTTAAATTACAGGGGCCTTAATATTATGATTTAAGGTATATCCCTTAAAGAAAGAGGTATTGGGATCTCTGGGAAGCCCGCCCACTGTGTCTGTGGTAGCTGCCGTGACCAGCTGTCCAAATTCTGACCCGGCAGGCTCAACGAACACATGGGTGGTTGTGTCAAAATTATGGTCCCTTTTTGGGTACAGTGCCCTAAATCCTTTCAGGGTTCCTTTAAGGGTTCTATAATGGTTGCTTTAAGAGTTGTATATGGGTCGTTGTCAAAATTATGGTCCCTGTTTGGATACCCTAAATATTAGGTGCCGTACTATCATAGGCACCCAAAAAGGGGACCCTAATATTGACAACCCCTAAACCCTAAACCCACTACCCCGAACCCTAAACCCTAAACCCTGAACCCTACTAGGCACCCCAAAAGGGACCATAATTTTGACAACGACCCATATACAACTCTTAAAGCAACCATTATAGAACCCTTAAAGGAACCCTGAAAGGATTTAGGGCACTGTACCCCAAAAGGGACCATAATTTTGACACAACCACCCACATGAGCTCCAGGATGGGGAATGGCCATTCTCTTCGGAGAAGCAAGCTGAACCCTAGACCCTAAACCGTGGCTTACTGACTAATATAGGGCTCGGGGAGCCCTTTTACTATACTTAGAATAAAGAACCCCCCCCAGAATAGTATAGATAATTATGAAGGCCGCTATATTAAGCTTTGTCACTTGTGTTTCTTAGCTTCAAACCTAGCTCCACTTCCGCGACTCTCCGCAGCCTTAAGCTCTAAACCGTGCAATCTAAACCTTGAACTCGGGTACTGCCCCACACAATAACAGCCAATAATGAGGGAAGGGCGTATACGTCTAAATCTATTGAGGTGTATCTCCGGACATTCTAACCCCTAAACCCTACACCCCAAACCCTGGTGAACCCTAAGCCCTAAACCCCAAACCTCAAACCGGGCAGTATCCAACCTAGATCCCTTTAAAGATCCCTTTCAGGAACCCTTTAAGGATCTCCTTTAGGATCACCTTTAAAAATCCTCTAAAGAGCTGAGGCAGTATCCAACCTCAACTGCTCCTGACATTCCAAGCCCTAAACCCTAAACCCCAAAACCCTGAACCCCAAACTCTAAATCCTAAGCCTTTAAACCCTAGACCCTAAGCGGGTCCTCCCTTAAGGAGCCTAAACCCCAAACCCTTACTTATAGTACCCGTACAGATCCCTTAAAGGGATCCTTAACACCCTACTTACTACTGTTGATGATATGAATCCTGCACTACCTTAAAGACCCTAAGCTATGGGAATAATGGTATATTCCCTTTTTTTAGGTAATGCAGGATCTATATCATCAAACCGTAAGTCCCCTGCCCCTTCAAGTAGACCCTAAACCCTAAACCCGATAGATCCCTTTAAGGAACCCTTTAAGGAACCCTATAGATCCCTTTAAGGAGCCCTTTAAGAACCCTTACTAGGTCCCCTGCCCCTCCAAGTCGCATCCAACCGAGGAGGGGACCCTAATATTGACAACCCCTAAACCGTAAACCCACTACCCCAAACCCTAAACCCTGAACCCTGAACCCTAATAGGCACCCCAAAAGGGTAGTATCCAACCCCTGCAGTTCCAAGCCGGAGATTCGCCTTCTTCGACTTTGGCTCCTTTGTGGCCTCCCGGCTTGGGCTTAGGCTCCTTAAGGGAAGACCCCCCTAGGGTCTAGGGTTCAGGGTTTAGGGCTTAGAGTGTTAGGCTTTAGGGCGGAGGACCCTCTTGCGGTTTAGGGCTTAGGGCTTAGAGTGTTGGGTTCGGCAAGGCTTCTACTAAGTTTTGTATGCGAAGTTTTCCTAGGCAGTCTATTTCATTCCGGGGCGCTGCGGTGTCGGCCTCCTGTAAAAACGTATAGAAAACCCTGGTGACTAAGTCCCATGTAACATGGCTTTTCGTTCTCCTTTGAGGAAGCCCGTAAAACCCTATAGAAACTCTGGTTCTTGAGGCCCTGCTAATAGTGGTGATTCTCATTCCTGCTTCTATGCTAATTTCCAGCTACATTTATTGCGTCCTTTACATTAAGAGCCCTAGGGGAGAATATGCGCAAGTTTTCCAGCGCCTATACTACTTCCTTATCGTATCCTTATTTATATGGGCTGTTGTCAAAATTAGGGTGCCTTTTTCGGTACCCTAAAAATTAGGTGCCGTATTATAATAAGGACCCAAAATGGGACCCTAATATTGACAACCACCCATATATGCACACGCCTTACAGAGATCCTTACGGTACTCTTGAAGGGGCCCTTTTCGCTGCTGAGTCAGCGGCCTCTTCCGTCGCCTTGAGCGGCGGCTGTGGACCCAGCCTAGTGCTCTTTCTTGGGCGCGGCGGGGCTAGCAACTGCAACTGCAACACTATCATTGCTAGGAGCTGTAGAAGATGAGCAGTAGTAGTAGTGGTAGTAGTAGTAGCAGCAGCAGCTGTTGTCGTAGTAGTTGTTGTTGTTTTTGGTGTTGTCGTGGTTGAGTTTGGTGTCCAGGGTTCACGGTTTGGGGGTTTAGGGCGGGGTTTCACACTCAGGGTTTAGCTGGAAGCTTTTCTAAGTGCAGTGGCTCCCTAAACCCTAAACCCTAAACCCCAAACCCTAAACCCCAAACCCTAAACCCTAAACCCTAAACCCTAAACCCTAAACCCTAAACCCTAAACCCTAACTCTTTCTCCGCAAGCAATGGAGGCTTTAGGGCCTGAGGCTTCAGGGCTCCAATGCACTTCAACGTTAACGTAGAAGCCGGAAAGTTGGAATATCATTATCATAATCCCTTTAAGGAAAATTATAGGGGATCCTACCATTAATCCATATTCCAACTTTCTGGAGTTCCCGTTAGCGTAGTTTGAAGCAGAAACTAATACCAATATTAGTCGTCTTAGGAACGGGGTTTCTAGAAGGCCTTTATAATGAGTTTTTAAGGAGTACCAGCAGGGTACTACAATTTTTGCTTCGGAGTGGATGTGCTTCATCAAAGAGCCTGCATCTTTTCATTTGCTGCCACTCTCACAACCCAAAACCCAAACCCAAAGCCAGAACACTCCAACATATGGGTGTGAATAGCAGCTCATACTATTCAGTAGGGTGCTTTGACGCATCTTGCGTAGCGAAACCCCGAAACCCTGGTCGACGTCAGAATCCCCAAACGAACGGAGCCTGGTCGGCTGGCAATGCCGTACCTCCTCCAGACAGAACGCCTGCGGTGAGTGCAGGGGCAGTCTGTACTTAAAGGGTCATGGGACTTAGTAATTGGGGTTATAAGTAAGGTAACTACACTTATAAGTACATATGGGAGTTTCCGAAAATAGGGGACCCTTATATAGTACCCCAAATAGTAGGATCCTTATTATAAGGACCCCAAAATAAGGTACCCCAATTTTCGGAAACTCCCGTCTAGTCTTAATTCTTACTAAGTCCCATGATCCTCCAAGTAGCTAAGTTCGCCCGACTTCCTTCGGGGTTTAAGTCTCAGGATATACATTAGGTGCTGCCCCATACAGTAAGAGTCTATAATAGGGTTTAGGGTTTAGGGTTAGAGTCTATAATAGGGCGACTATTAAGGTCCTAATATAACTATATTATGAATATTTTTCAACTATTACTGACTGGGGGCCGTACCCAAGATATACAGGTGCTGTAAAGTGACTGAAAGCGCTCTGGGGCAAGAAAGTCAACGAATCCAAACAGAGACCCACTCTCAGAAGCTCCCACCAGAATGGACAGGAATGGAATGTGCACACCGGGCGTTCAGAAATGTTACTGCCACATGCATAGGTAATGCTGCGCAATACTTGGCAAAAGTGCAACACAATAGATATGTTACGCTGCGCTGAAGCAAGCAGCAGAGTACATGGCAACACAGACGAGCATGCAAAATCACGTGTTTCACACTTTACGCAAGAATCCCTGAAATGAACCACACCGGCAGCAACAAGCTTGAGCTGTCCGACAAGCACTCAAATTTACTGCGAAGCTCGGGGGTCCTTACAAAGGAGGGACCCTTAATGGGGACCCCTGGGTCCCTATAACGGGCTATATAATGGGTTTATAATAGCTATATTAAGGATATATACCTAGTGGTCCTTATTAAGGGTCCCTCCTTTTCCCCTTTGATTACAATTTCGGACAACCAGGGCCTGTATCAGGGTCCCATGCTTTCGAAATTTCCCACTTCTTGGAAAGCTCAAGGGCTTATGGATTCCAGCACTCTCTAAGCAAGGTCCGCGAAAAAGGAATGCCGAACGAAACCCACATCCCGAAACTTCCAAGAAAACGTGAAGCCCAGGACCTTAGCCGCTAAAGCCTCGAAAACATGTAATGTAGGGGCCTGAATACTTAGAATGCCGACCTGTTGTAGACTAGAGTAATTGCACGAAGAAAGGGACGATATGGGAAAAGACTAACTGTTCAGAACCCCACATCACAATCCCATTCAGGCAGACTCCGACCGTAGATTAGGAAGAGTTGCCGGAGTCTTTAGCGGCAGAATTTTTGAAATCTTCAACCGCAGCAGGCCTAAACCCAACATTGCGTAATGTAGGAGCTGAAGTGGTTAGTAGTAAGTCAGCCCTTGTAGTTCCTAATATACGCAACCTAAACCCAACTTCCGCCATCCTTGGCGTCGACTTCGTCGTTCGCCTGTGCAAGAGATCGTTGCAGACATGCTGGCTACCTTTTTAAGGACTCATATAAAGAAATCATGTTAGGGGAACCCTAAAAAGGTAGGTTCCTTAGGGTCCAGGTAGGGTTTAGGGTGGAGGCCTAGGCCCACACCAGTCAGCCTAGTCAGAATGACAACTGCGATAGCGACGACAGGCACAGCGGCAATGGCTCCTGTCTATTAGCACCTGCTTAGGCTGCTTGTTTCCCAGTACTCGAGAATGGCAATGTCCCTGCCACCCGATAGAAGAAATTCAGCATGAGTCATTGTTCTGCTAACAGGTGAGTTAGTGGTTGGAGAGATTAGTAATACTATCCCGCAGGTATAACTTTAGTAGAGTATGTCTCCCAACACCCGATTGTAAGCATTGAAGCCCCTATATGTGAATCTTACTGCGCTTGGAACTGGCAACAACTGACAATATAAGACCCTACACCCTAAACCTTAAACCACGAAACCCTAAAGCCCAAACCCCGCCAAACCCTAAACCCTCAAACCCTAAACCACCAAATCCTAAACTGCAACCCTCCAGCCCCACACTTCTTGGATCCCGTCCTTCGAAGCCCTCACATCCTGAAACTAAGAGTTTAGGGTTTAGGATGTAACTAGGTTCAATGTTTAGGATATAGGGTTTAGGATACAGGGTTTGGGACTTGGGATATAGGTTTTCGGGTTTGGGGTTGCTCTCCACAATCTACCTTAGGTTATGACCGTTCTGCGCCTCACCGAATACTCCGCACTGAAGGAGCCCAAAACCTTTATAGAAGCTCTGTAAGCTGCGGAATGAGTTCTTAATATACATATACATACACATATACACGCACATATACATACTCATACACATACACATCCATCCATCCATGCATGCATAGATACATATAAGCACATATATGTCTGTGTGTGTACATATTAACATACTCACACAGTACATACATGCGTGTCTATCTGTAAAAAAGCTTGTATGTGAAACAAGTTGGGCACTCCGGGAGCCTTGTACTTTCCGTAGATATAGTCATAGGTCTCCTCTTCGCCGACCTGCTGGAGCGCGGAGCGTCAATCTTCCTGACCTTCTGAGCCTACTTGAAGGATCGGACTTAGTAACTGGGGTTATGAGTCTGGTAACTACAGTTATAACTACTTATAACCCAATTACGGTACTTATAACCCTACTTACTAAATCCAACGCTCCTCGAAGTAGGGGGAGGGCCTTGGGGTTGAGGGCCTGCGGTTGAGGGAGTAGGGTTGAGGGTTTAGGAGTTCAGAGTTAAGGATGAGACTTACCTTTGGTTAGTAGGGAATGGAGGAATGGGATACAATTATAACTACTATTGCTAACATTCTTCCATTCCCTACTAACCAAAGGTAAGGAGAATGCCCTCCAAGTAGAGCTAAAACCTTCGAAGCGCCCGAAGCAGCTCTCAACTACAACAAACCAACTGCAGGTTTGCGAATCCTAAACCAAAAAACCCACTCTTTCGGAGCGCAAAAAAGTGCGCAACCGAGAAAACCCCGACAAAGCATTGTGAACCCTCGAAGCCCTGTCAAAGCTGTAAAACAACAGGCTTACAAATACAGTGGCTCGAGATACAGTACTTAGAATTCCGAAACCCTAAACCCACCTAAACCCTAAAACCACCTAAACCCTAAACCCCAAAGCCTTAAACCCACCTAAAACGAAACCCAATTTAAACTCTAAACCCTAAGCCCACCTAAACCCTAAGCCCACTTCAAACTCTAAACCCTAAACCCAACAACACCCGAACCCACTTTAAACTCTAAACCCTAAGCCCACCTAAACCCGAAACCCACTTTAAACTCTAAACCCTAGGCCCACCTAAACCCGAAACCCACTTTAAACTCTAAACCCCGAACCCTACTAAAGCCCTAAAAATCTAAACCCGCCTTATTTACCGAGTCCCTCATCCTATGAGCACTGACCTCCTCGAAGACCAGCTTGCGGCAAATCTCTGCCAGGCGCTTCTTCCTGCCAGGTTTTAAGGTTTAGGGCTCTGGGGCTGTAGGGGTTTGGGAGCGGGGTTTAGGCGTTTAGGGTTTAGGGGTTTGGGAGTTTCGGGGTTTTGGGCTTTAGAGTGTAGGGATTTAGGGCGAGACTGGGCGAGAGTAGTCAATTGAAGAGTGTCACTTCCAAGGGTGTTTATTCATCAGTGGTCTGCATTAGAAGCTGCCCCCACCTTGTAATAGTGACTATAAGGATTATATCAGGGCCCTATTATACTCCTATTATACGACTATTATACCACTATTACAGGGTGGGGGCAGCTGCTAAGGTCTACATTACAAGTACCCGTATTTTTGTTGATCACAGGATTCCTGACCATGAACGCCCAGCACGGTCTTTCTATGCACGCATCTTTAACTGCGAGGCAAGGCGACGGACTTGCAAACCCTCCAGCCGCCACCAATGACCCCAGGCCCTCAGACCTTAAAGACAGACTAGCCCCGGAACCCCCAAGCCGTAAACCCGAAACCCTAGCGGCCTTAATAATTAGAATAAGGTTTTGGGACCCGTTATACTGTAATTACAATAAGGAACCCCCAAAATACTGTAATTATAATAAGGAACCCCCAAAATACTGTAATTATAATAAGGAACCCCCAAAATACTATAATTATAATAAGGAACCCCCCAAAATACTATAATTATAATAAGAAACCCCCAAAATACTATAACTAGAATGGGAACCCCCGAAATAGTAGCCCGGTCCAGGTGTCGCCGCCCATCTGAATCGCGCCCATGCCAGGCCTGGGCATGCGAAAGATTGAGGCTTAGGGCTGTAGCCCTTTAAAGGGAACTCCAGAAAGTTGGAATATGGTTCCTTAAAGGGTTCTTAAGGGATCTATAGGGGTTCCTTGAAGGGATCTATAGGGGTTCCTAAAAGGGAACTCCAGAAAGTTGGAATATGGTTTCAGGGTAGGATACCTTATAATTTACCATAAAGGGTTTCGGATAATCATATTCCAACTTTCTGGCTTTTACCTTAGGGTTTTGACATATCGCCCATTTGGCCCTAAACCCCCTGTAATATAGGGGCTAACATAGGAACTACAAGGGGACATAGGAACTGCAAGGGGATACTTAAAGGATCATGGGACTTACTAAGTAGGGTTATAAGTATTTTAATTGGGGTTAGAAGTAATTATAACTGCAGTTACTTTGCTTATAACCCCAATTACGAAGTCCCATGATCCTTTAAGTAGGGTCCTTAACAAGTGGAGTAGGGCTTTGGGGTGGGGGTTTGAACCTAGGGGCCTTAATAAGTCTAGTAGGGCTTTGGGGTGTGTCAAAGTACAACAAGGAGTTGAAAGGGAATGTTCCTAGACCCTGGTACAACCCCATAGACCCCTAAAAAACACCAGCCTTGAGGAACCCTTTAGAAGGGGATACTATCATTCATCATTCCAGCCTCTATACCACTCCCCAAACCCTAAACCCCATAAACCCCAAACCGCATAAACCCCACCTCCCATAAAACCCCCAAAACCCTATGCCAGGATCCTTAAACCCTAAACCCTTAACCCTAAACCCAAAATCAACCCTAAACCCCAAACCCTTGACCCCAAACCCTAAGTAAACCCTAAACCCTGAACCCTACTTCAAGGCTCATGGGACTTAGTAAGCAAGGTTATAAGTAGGTTATAATTAGGATAACCCCACTTAGGGGACTTATAACCCCAATTATAACCTACTTACTAAGTCCCATGATCCTTTAAGTAAACCCTAAACCGGCACCAAGACCCGAACTGCAGCTCAGCGTTGTCTTTCAGAGCCGGCCTCAGGGAGCTGAAAACTGGAATATAGGGTTTAGGGTTTAGGGTTTAGTATGTGGGTAGTTGCCCCTTTTTGGGTACCCTATATATTAGGTGCCGCATTATAATAAGGACCCAAAAAGGGACCATAATGTTGACAACCGCCCATGTACATCGCATAGTACAGTAGAGTACAGTAAAGCACTGTAGAGTACAACACAGTGCAGCTACATTACATGGTATAATCTAGTAAATTTTAATATAGTGCCCAAACCCCCGGGCGGATCCAAAAAGTAGATCCCTTGATGGGGGTGCCTATAAAGTACCCTTAGTAGTATAGGGCCCCAAACTAGGGGATCTACTTTCCCAAACCCTAAACCCTAGACCCCAATTCCCTAAACCCTAAACCCTATAGATCCCCTTAAAGGAGCCCTATAAATCCCTTTAAGGGAACCCGAAAGATCCTCCCGGGGGTCTGGGTGTAGAATAGTGTAAGGGGTCAGGGGAACGAAGGACAACGCAGGCGGGACCCAGAGACTCCAATACCCCTTAATTAAGGAATATACATTGAATCATATTAGGGATCCTATTATAATTTAAGGCATATTCCTTAATTAAGGGATATTGGAGTCTCTGGGGAGGGGGCAGGGGAGAGCTCGGCTTCGGCTTGAGCTTTGGGGTCGAGCGGTTTTGAGGCTTTACTACATATGTATACATATATATATATGTACATATGTACATATGTACATATGTATATATATATATATAGATATATAGATATATATAGATATATACATACTTATATGTATACGGGGATAGATAGATCGATAGACAGGTGAATAGATGGGGTTTCGGGTTTTAGGATTAGGTTGGTAGGTGGGTTTGGCGGGGGGTTTTGGTGAGGAGTTTGGGTCAGGCCCTGGGCCTTCACGGGATCAGCCCAGAGAGCCCCCAATACCCCTTAATTCAGGAATATGGCTTAAATTATATAGGGCTTCATATTATGATTTAAGCTATATTCCTTAATTAAGGGGTATTGGGCTCTCTGGGAGGTTTAGGGCTTAGAAATTTAGGGTTCAGGGTTAGGGTATAGGGTTTTTTGGACTTAGGTTTTTAGGGTTCAGGGTTCGGGTTGAGAGTTTTTGGACTTAGCTTTTTAGGGTTCAGGGTTAGGGTATAGGGCTTTTTGGGCTTAGGTTTTAGGGTTCGAGGTTCGGATTTAGGGCTTAGGTTTTAGTTTTAGGGTTTAGCAAGGCACAAGTGTGTCAACGACAATCAACAAACAATGACCCGCGCACATGTACCGGAAACACGGCGAAGTGGGCTTGTTTTCATTAGACTAGGGTTTTGGGGGTAAAGTACTGTAAATATAGTAAGGACCCCCCCCCCCAAAAAAAAAATAGTATTGGTAATTATTTAAGCCCCTGCAGAACTGCAACAAAGCAACCGCACTATACAGCCTAAACCCTAAACCCTAAATCAAGGCCGTGGCTTAGAGGCTTGCCCAAAGCCCCCCGGAAGGGACCGGAAAGTAGAACCCCGAGTTCGGGATCCTATGCTACTAAAGGCCACTGTATAGGAACACCTTTAAGGGATCTACTTGTTGGATCCTCCCGGGGCTCTGGGTAAAACGCCAGCCTATCGTCACCTACGTCGGCACTATAAGTAAACAAAAATGCCGTTATGCTGCTTATGACCCCATGGAAACTAAGTTCAGCGATCTGTAGAAGCCAAAACCCCTACAGAGCCCTATGAAGAGCCCTTTACATGAATTCTTTAACTGAGTGTGGTCGTGACCGTAGACACAGGAACAGGTGAAGAATCCGGAGCTCAAGCCCACTCAGGACGTTCTCGCCGTTCACCAGCTTGATGCCATATCCCTGTTCGGGGTTTGGGGACACTGCTTTAGGGTTCAGGATGGTTCAAGATTTAATTACTTGGAGGGGCAGGGGACTTAGTAAGTCGTTTATAAGTAGGGTTATAATTGGGGGTAACTCCATTTAGGGTACTTATAACTCTAGTTATAACCTACTCACTAAGTCCCCTGCCCCTCCAAGTAGACCCTAAACCCTAAACCCCATAGATCCCTTTAAGGAGCCCTATAGATCCCTTTAAGGAGCCTTTTAAGGAGCCCTTTAAGAGCCCTTACTAAGTAGACATCCCTGTTAGGCATCTTTGGTGTAGAGAGATGGCTTGGGGCTCGGGGCTCGGAGAATCTGCACGGTGTGCGCTCACTGCTCCTTGTAACAAACAAACTATACAGTACTTGGAGGATCATCGGACTTAGCAAGTAGGGTTATAAGGACCTTAACTTGGGTTATAAGTGATTATAACCATAGTTTCCTTACTTATAACCCCAGTTACTAAGTCCCATGATCCTTTAAGTAGAAGCCCAAAAGTTGGAAACCCAATAACCTCAATCCTTAAGAGCAACGTATAGGAAATCCCAGCACTATTTGGCCTTCATCTGGTTTCCAACTTTATGGGGTTTACTGTATACTATAAACAACAAAAACACTACACTATGCATATATGGCTCTATATATATATATATATATATGTGTGTATACGTATTCCAAATATCATTTGTGTCAAAGTTACAGCAGCATGCCCAAAGCTTCTCCTAAGCTCTGACACGGCTCTGAAGCAAGACAATAAGACAGAAACTCTCAAGCTCTCAATCTCGAAGCCTTCAGACTGCTATGCAGAGGGGTGCATGTCAAGCTGACTTTCGGGTTTGGGGTTTAGGGTTTCGGGTTTGGGGTCTAGGGTTTAGGGTCTCGGATTTAGAGTTTAGGGTTTAGGGTTTCGGGCAGCAGAGAGCGTGGTAAACAGATTGCCTCGTAGAACCGGCTGAAAAGTTGGTTTCCGATGCAGGAAAGTCTGCTCAACCCGACAGAAAGCCCGATATCCTGAACTTTAACCCTGAAGCCCCGCATGCTAAACCTGTCTGCTGAACTCTGGATTTCGGTGCTTGGCGCTTCCAAAAACCTGAAACTCCGAATGTGTCAGCCTCTAAATCGTGCACCTGCCTCGAACGACGACCTGCATGTCTCCTCAAACAGGTCGGTGTACTCCCAGGATTTTAGCCTGCAGCATTCATTCGCTTGCTATGCCGGTTGCTAGCTCTACAGCTGAAGGAACAGCAGCGGCTGTCATGATGCTGTTGACGTTGGTCTACTGGTAAGACAGTCAAGGATGTCTTCTCGTTACTACTGCCTTTACTACTATGTCTGCTGCTGCTGCTGCTGCTGCTGTTGCTGCTGTTGCTGCTGCTGCTGCTGCGGCTGCTGCTCCTCCTCCTCCTCCTCCTCCTACTACTACTACTACTACCACTACTACTACCACTTTTTCTATGTCTACTTCTACTTCTACTTCTGCTTCTGCTTCTGCTGCTGCTGCTGCTGCTGCTGCGACTACGACTACTACCACCATCACGACTACCAATACCACCACCACCACCACCACCACCGCCACCACCACCACCACCACTACCACTACCACGACCACTACCACGACCACTACCCCTGCCCCTACCGCTACCAATTCCACTGCCGCTACCACGACCACGACAACTATCACTACTACGACGACGACTACCCCAACACAGCATCCTGATGAGCAGGATTCACCCTAAACCCCTTAACCCCTAAACCCTAAACCCTAAACCCCTAAACCCCTAAACCCTCAACCCCTGAACCGCTCAACAGTGTAACTCTAAGGTTTAAGCAACCCAGCTTTGGGGGCTTGTATCAGGGCTACTATAAGGATTTAGTATACTTAAAGGATCATGGGACTTAGTAATTGGTGTTATGTGTACGGCAACTACAGTTGTAATTCGCCTCGGCCCCGGCCGAAGCGGGTCAGAGGTTCCTCTCCTATTCCCCACCTCTTAATCCCCTCCCCATGACCCCACCCCCAAAAACGGGGCCCGCTGACCCCCCCCCCCCCTTAAAAATGGAAACGTGTCGCGGTGAATTCTCGCCCCTTCCAACGGATTTTAGTAGTCTGTAGGCAGTCCCACCCAGTTTTCCTCCCGTCCCCCCCCCCCCCCCCCCCCCCCCCCCCCCCCCCCCCCCCCCCCCCCCCCCCCCCTCCCGCCCCCCCCACTCCCCTTTCCCTCCGCTCGCTGACAGGTGCGAGCTTTCGGAGTTTTCGACGACACGGGACTGCAATGTAGCATCTTTATGTGCGTCTCAGGCTTGTTTTAGACGCCCTTTCGTGGAGTAACGTGGTTGAAAAGGCTGTGATGCTACCCTAATCCAAGACGCCCACGAAATCCACAGCCTCAACGGCCCATACTTAAGGCATCCCGCCGCTTGCGAGAGTCTTGGTATCCAGTGTTTCGGAATGACGACACCAAAATTCGTACCAATCATCCTGCTTCGTGTTGCTATGAACATTACTTTTACTATAAGTGCGATTCCAACTGTTACTTTTTTCCTACAAGAGCTTGCTGCAGATAGCCGGGCCGAGGCGGACGACGCGCAGCGTTTCAAATTACTTTTAACCCCAATCAAGGTACTTATAACCCTACTTACTAAGTCCTATGATCCTCCAAGTAGGGCCCTTAATAGTTAGAATAGGGTTCCTGCTAAGGATTCCTTTAAAAAGGGTCTTTGAGGGCTACTATAAGGGCGATTATAAGGATTTAGGACAAGGGGCCCTTAATAATTCCAGTAGGGTTCCTTTAAAAGGGCTCTAAGGGCCTCTTGTACATTTCGAAGCGTGGAGCTTGAGGCCACAGATATGGTGATTAGTTTGCAAATTCCGGGTTCATGTGGGTGGTTGTCAAAACTATGCTCCCTTCTTGGGTGCCTATCATAATATGGCACCTAATATTTATGGTTCTCAAAAAGGGGCCACAATTTTGACAACTACCCATGTCTAGAGCAAGTACGGTTGCAAGCAGCGCGACTGCGACTACAAGCCCCCGATCCCTTAGTCCTTAGTCCTAAGTCCTAAACCCTAAGCCCCCCTTCAAAGGGATCCTTCAAAGGGTTCTATGAGGGACTGTAGAATTCCATCTCCTGAGCCCCTCCTGAGTTTGTACATGACTTTCGATCTTGTGTTTCGGCCCTAGGCATGGCTTCGGAATTTCAGCCTTGGGTCAACACCTTCAGATCTCACATTCTAGGATTTCACGCAGTCTGAGTAGATGTACAGCTCAGGTGATTTCCGTACGTTGAGGTTGTGCGTTGAAAAGGTAGGGACGGCGCGAGGGTTCATGGACCACTGGTGAGACCGGTGGTGAAGACTTCGAGGCCTCCAACCCTTTGTCGGGCACAAATCGAGAAAGTGTACAATTCTATTATCCTGGAACCTGGACTCACGAGGACTCCAACCCGTTCTTTGGATTCAATAGGTTATGAGTTCCCAAGACGCTCCCTCGCGGAACTCTGGGAGCATGGAAGGGGCTCAGGCAAGTGAGAGACTTGCAGAGAGCTCTGGGAATGCAGGGCTGCTGAGTGGCTATGGGGCTGTTCAGGCAGCAGTGACGTCGACTTCGGGGAGCTTCTCCGGAAGGGCTGTTGAAGGTTCAGTTCAGGAGGGTCAGACCGAAGTTCCGGATGTCGTTGTGGAACAGACTGTGGAAGGGCCTGTAGTGGGCCAGACGGACATGCCTCAGGCCACCAGTGGCATGAGTACAGAGGCCCCTCCGAGCGGTGCTGCTGCGGATTCGGGAAGTTCTTCTGGCAGGGATGTTTTTTATTCAGCTGGAAGGACGACGCCGCAAGACACTGCTCAGGTTGCTCAGATGATTCAGGTCCAAGGACAACCACAGCTGTTTGGACCGGAAGCCAACTTCCGGCTGGCGCAACTGGAGAGGGAAGCCCCTCACTTGTATGGAGGCGGGATCGCTATGACTTCAGGAGCAGCCAGATCGGACTCTTCTGGGTTCAGCGCTGGGGAGATTCAGGCAGAGGTTCATCGGCAGCTTGAGCTTGTTCGGAGGGAGCATGCACTTCAGATGAGAGCGTTGGCAGCTGAGAATGAAGCCTTGAGGAATAGATCTCTGCTGTTTGAGGGCCGAAGGCCTGTACAGGTAGAATCCTCTAGTGCGGGTTGGGGAAATCAGGCCGCGAAGGTGATGGAGTGGTTTGGTTTAGGGCAGGGTGCGTTCGCGTCGTTCGTGCCGAGAAACCCTAACCCCGTAAGTCCTGGCACGAATCCCCTTGGACCGCAGGCCTCAGGAGATACCCAGGTCCTTCTTCAGGGCACGGGTCACTCTGTGACCTCGGAAGGCATGCAAGCGGCAGGTGTGCATTCAGGTCAGGTGCCAATGCAAGGTGCATCACAGGTCAGGTGCGCAGTCAATGCAAGTGTGCACTACCGCAGGCTTCAGGTGTGCAGTCAGGTCCACTGATGCAAGGTGCACTACCACAGGCTTCAGGTGTGCAGTCAGGCGTGCCGATGCAAGGTGCACTACCACAGGCTTCAGGTGTGCAGTCAGGCGGGCCGATGCAAGGTGCACTTCCGCAGGCTTCAGGTGTGCAGTCAGGCTTCCTGATGCAAGGTGCACTACCGCAGGCTTCAGGTGTGCAGTCAGGTCCACTGATGCAAGGTGCACTACCGCAGGCTTCAGGTGTGCAGTCAGGCGTGCCGATGCAAGGTGCACTACCACAGGCTTCAGGTGTGCAGTCAGGCGGGCCGATGCAAGGTGCACTTCCGCAGGCTTCAGGTGTGCAGTCAGGCTTCCTGATGCAAGGTGCACTACCGCAGGCTTCAGGTGTGCAGTCAGGTCCACTGATGCAAGGTGCACTACCGCAGGCTTCAGGTGTGCAGTCAGGTCCACCGATGCAAGGTGCACTTCCGCAGGCTTCAGGCGTGCAGTCAGGTCCACCGATGCAAGGAGCACTTCCGCAGGCTTCAGGTGTGCAGTCAGGTCAGATGTTGCACACAGGTGCACTTCCGCAGGCTTCAGGTGTGCCACCAGGTTCCTCCGCTGAGGCCTCGAGTGCCCAGCAACAGTGGCCTTGGCATGGCTTGTTCCAGAGAGCGTGGGATGCCAGTGGGGTCAATCAAGGACTTGGATCGTCAGGTCTCTCTCCAGATGCAGCAGGCATCCTGGCAGGTCTCCAGGCTTTGGTGTCTCAGCAGAACGGAAGTTCGTCTCCGACTGAAGGGAAGGCGGAACAGGTGAAACACTCTTGGTCGGAGCTTCCGAAGCTTCCAGAACTAGGACCTGAGTCCTCCCTTGCGTTTTCGGACTGGCTTCACCTAGTCGCCCCACTGGTCGAGGACATGTCAGCCACGAGTGCTCAGTACTGGGGCCTTCTCACACGAGAGGCCGAAGAGGTTTACCGAAGGTACTTAGCTAGTGACCCCATGGGCAGGATTTCACTGAATCCGGTGGAAACCCCGGAGCTTAAGTCCCCTGTTTGGTCCAGACTTGCCAAGCGCTTGGAGGCTCTTTTGATCACGGCAGCTCCGAAGCAGGTGCGCGAAGAGTTGGTCCAGAGCCGACTCAAGTCTCCACTTCACCTTCTCTACCGCCTTCATGTGCTGTACGCCCCGGGAGGTGTACAAGAGAGGGAGCACGCCCTGCGCAGCCTCCAGCACACGAGCTCCGCTACCACTCCCCAGGCCGCTCTGGATGCGCTCCGCCAATGGAGACGGTGGCTCTCTAGGACCGAGGCCCTTGGAGGTTCGTTGCCCGACCCGGTGATCCTTATCAAGGCACTGCTGAACATAGTTAAGACTGTGCTTGAGGGCAATGCTGAGGTGCAGTTTAGAATGGGACTTGTGAAGGCAGCCCTGAGAGCTGAGACGGCCCCTACTGTCGCAGTGGTTCACCAGCTCCATGCGGCCTTGCTCTCTGAAGTAGAAGGGCTAGCTAGGACTCAGACCTTGAAGCCGAAGGCGACTCCCTCTGCAGCCGCAGTGAACGTTCCTGAGGTGCCAGCTGCAAACCCAAAGGCCTCGTCGGTTTCCCAAGGAAAAGGCTCTGGGAAGTCAGAGTCCTCTGGAGGCCGGACAGCAGACACCACAATCACTGTTCCTCAAGGTGCCTGCAGGTTCTATGTCCAAGGCATTGGGTGTAACAGGGGTGATAAGTGCCGCAACGCCCACAATTGGCAAGACATCCCCAGTAAGGATAAGAAGTCCAGGTGTATGTCGTGTGGTGGCACCGGCCACCAAAAGGCGTCATGCCCGCATGCTTCAGGAGGTTCAGGCCCGCCGAAGGCCCCGAACCCAGCTCCCCCTCGAAGAGCTGACAAACCCGAGAGGCCTAAGGCAGCAGCAGTGGCGGCTCAGGTTGCAACCGCTCATGACGCCAATTCGAGCCAGGTCCAGGCTGTCTTGGATGATGCGGCGAAGGTTTTGAAGGCCATACAGGCGCCAGGGAGCCAGGTGAGGGATCCACCCGTTGCACCGAGGGCGGAGGCAGCAGCACCAAAGGCGACTCCAGTGCTTCAAGGAACCCCTGTGACGGTGGCTACTCTTCAGAGCCACTTGGATGCCATTCGTCAGGCCATCCCAGAGGTCCAGCAGACTTCTGAGAAGCCTTCGATCAAGGCCATTGCAAGCTTGGCCATGCCCTTGGAGGAGGAAGGTCCGCTGGAGGAGGCAGACCCCGACGAGCAGGTGGGCTTATTGGACAGCGGTGCGACGCATGCTGTTCGTGCACGCGAGGAAAGAGACCAGGATCTCACTGCAACGGAGGTTGTTTTGGCGGGAGGAGCTACCCAGTCCTTGCTCCAAAACCCAGGTGGGACGATCCTAACCAATGGTCCCTCGCAGCCCATAGTGCCCCTCGGGAGCTTAGTGCGGCTTCTGGGTTGTAGTGTCACCTGGACCCCTACGCGGTTAGTGGTCAAGCATCCGTGGGAAGCTAAGGGTGAAGATTAAGCAGGGGTGTCCAGTCCTCGCCGAGGCCCGTGCTCTAGAGTTGATCCAACAACTCGAGGAGCGACGCCTTGAGAAACTACGCGGGCAAGTGGATGAGACGGAGGCCGTGCTCCGAGCCCTCACTTCCAGGGTGCCGCTGGTTAAGGCGGTAGATAGGGCTAAGGAGGAAGGTACGCGAGCAGATGTGATGCAGACGGCCCTTTCGTGCGGTGTTTTTGAGCACCACCACCTCCAGTCCATAGCTACCACAATCCCTAGGGAGGAACGCGAGCTCCGGCACACCCTGAAAGGCTTGTCACTTCCCCGGCGCCGCCGGCGAGCGTTGGAGCAGTCCAAGGATTGGTTTGTGAACCTTCAATTTGGGAAGGAGCCAGCGGCGGTCAGTGAGAATGTGCTCTCGGCGTGCTCCGATGCTCAAGTGCTTCACATCGACTTGTCCAAGCCCCATAACAACCTTGAGCCAGGATCTCCCCTGAGAGCCTCCCTTGCCTGGGCAGCCCTTCATGGAAGGATCATCGGCCTGTCAGCTGACCTCGCCTCTCGATCCGAGCTTCTGGTCCAGGTTTCATGGTTGTGGGCAGTGGCCTCCGCCGGTAGGGGTTATACGGTTCCCTTAATGACCCTCTCGGACTCCGCTAAGCTCTTCAAGGATGAGTGGTGGCCGAAGTTCCAGCGTTGGGCCCACTTAAAGCAAGCCTCTGCGATAGGAGGAGCCGTGACTGTGTTCACAAACTGCCGGACCGATTTGGTCGAGACATGTGAGAACCGTTCTGTTCTCCCGGAAAGGGTCGTGCAATCCTTCCAGCCACAACGGCCGCAACCGGTCTCTGAGGAGGAGTTGAGAAGGATCGACCAAGAGGTGCGTGACTCACTGCGCCTAATCAGGCCCTCAATTGCTTCAGGTGGCCAGGTTTCAGAGGTCCAAGGTGTCAAGCAAGCGGTACCGACCGCGGCCGCGCTAGATGTTGAAGGGTGGAGACGCCACATCGAGAGCGGACACCTCCCGTTCAACAGGAAGTGCAAGGCCTGCGTTATGGGGTCAGGGGTAGGACTGCAGCACCGCAAGGTGGCCCATCCAACCTCGTTCTCCCTTTCACTAGATGTCCTGGGGCCCATCCAGAAGGGAATCTTTGAAGACTCAGTTGCAGCCCAGCCAAGGCACAAATATGCCCTTGTGGGGGCGTACAGAGTGCCTGAGGACGTCCTTCGGAGAAGATGGGATCCTAAGAAAGACCTGAAGGATTTGTTCAGGGACACCACGCTTGAGTTGGCTTCCGCAAATGAGTACCTTGGTGGTGAGTTGAAGGGGGCCGAGCCCGAGCCGGCGCCGTCGGACCCTTTGCTTCCGATCCAAGAAGGGCAGGAGGAGGAGATGCGCGAGGAAGAATGGGACCAGTCCGAAAGGGGGCCTGAGGAATCTCTCGTGAGCGTTGAGCTGGAGGCCGAGTCCCACTCTGGGGAGACCCTCCAACAGGCCATAGAAAACCTTAAGGACCCAGTTCCCCAGGTCGTGCTTCGGTTTGTTAGGCCAATGACCTCCCGCAAGGGCCCTTCCCTCATGCCGGCCATCCACTCCATGGTTCAGGAGATAAACAAATTAGGCTTCCCAGTGAAGAATGTTCACTCCGACCAGGGCCGGGAATTCTTGAGCGACAGCTTGAGGCTGTGGTTGTCCCAAATGGGAGCGCGCGTCACCATGAGCGAAGCTCATGATAAAAAGGCCAATGGCCTGGCAGAACGCATAGTAGGGTGGTGTAAGCAGAGAGCCCGTTGCCTGCTGAACAGTGCCGAGCTCGAGCCAAGCTTCTGGCCCTACGCTATGTCTCATGCCGCCGCCTCACACCAGGCCTCCCTTATAGGAGACACTCCGCTCCCCCACTTTGGGAAAAAGATAGTGTTCAAAAGGCCGATGTTGCCTGGCAACTTCAAGCCCTGGGACCATTGGTCCGAAGGTCGATACCTCTCCCCGTCCATCCTTGTGCCTGGAGGACACTCTATCCTCAGACCGGATGGCAACACCACGGTTGTGAAGAATTTCAGGGATGATTTAGTTGACCCTGAGGCCTTGGTAAGACAGCGGGATGAGGAGCTAAAGGAGGCAGCGGAGGTAGCTGCAGATGCGTCCCTTTCGGAAGGAGGCCAGGAGGAGTTGTTTCCGGAACTCTTTGGCCCCGATGGCCGGGAGCCCACGGGATCATCAAAGGAGGTGATAGGAGCAGGTGTAGGGGCGATAGATCCTGGACCCGCAGACTCCGAACTCCCTCCACCTAGTCGTCTAAAGGGAAAGGGTCCAAGGTTGAGGCCGAGGCCACGCCTTGCTGCTCTCCGGGAGCAGGAGCCAGAAGAAGAAGAGGATGAAGAAAGTGAGGAGGAGAGCGAAGGACCGGATGAGGTGACGGATGTAGAGGCCAACACCATATCTGAGGGTCAGATTTCATCCTTGGGATCCTCCTCCTCGTCTGGGCAACAGTTTCCCCGCAACTTGGGATCCATCCAGGATCCGGTGATCATCCGAGCCCTTGTGAGGCTCAGTCTTGAGTCCAGAGCTCAGGGCCTCTATGATTTGGGAGTCCACGAGGTAGGCGATCTGAACTACGTCTTCAGAACAGACCTTGTTGAGGAAGGCTGGACCGATCACGAGGCTACTGTGTTCCTCCATGAATGCGGCCTGATTGCCCCAGCCCAGCGATCTGAGAACCCAAGAAGCGCCGGGTATGTTGAGGGTCAAGTTGGGTTGATAGGGAGGGAAGATGAGTTTCCTCGTACTATGGGTGCTAAGGCCCGTGCTCGCAGGGAAGCAAGGGAAAGGGCGGAAGCCCTCCGCGTGCAACCACGTGCACCAGGCTCAGATGCAGGAGCCACTGCGGGCTCAACGGAGCCTCCCGAGCCCCGTCACAACCCCCGCATCACCCGTCCTATCCTGGACCAGCTTCCGGCGAGATTCTATGATGAAGTGATCGCCAATCAGCCCATCTCTAGAGACCTCCTCTCCCGTGTAGAGGAGGAAGCACATGACGCCGACCTAACGATGGAACCGAATGATGAGGAGTATGCCCAAAATGTCTTTCAGACCACCAGGTCGAGAATGAATTGCAACCCTAACGGGGTCACTCCGGTTGTAGGGCGTCTGATGCTCCGGAAGTTTGCCAGGTTTAGGAAGGATAGCTTTGGGTTAGTGCCTCCTGAGCAAGAGCCTGCCCTGGAAGCTGCTTCTGAAGAGCTCGCGTCAGCACTGCTGGAGCTCGGACCAGGGATCTCAACACAGGGGGTCGAGCAGATGGCGCGACGGCTTCCTTATGAGAGCCCTCACCCTGCCCTGGCTGGGGATCAGACGTCAGGGGAAGAGGGCCGCGCATTCTACTGTGGTGCCATGTGCAGAGGAGGGATCTCCTCCTTGAGAAGGTCTTGTGCGGAGAACCCGCTTGCCATCAAGTGCCTTACCAGGCTTCTCCGGAGAGCCTTTCCCCACATGTGCTTTTCCTCAGCGGCAGTTCTAGAGGAGGTGATGGCACCCCCACACCGGGACTCCAGAAATGAGGCAACTCCAAACTTGATCTTGCCTTTGACCAGGTTTGAAGGTGGTGCAGTGTGGGAGGAAAATGAGTTCGGAAATGTTTTGAGGGATGTCAAGGGCAAGCCCACCGCGGGCAGACTGCTTGATGTTGCAACGGGACCCCAGACCCTCCAGGCCCATTCGAAGTTCCATCTCACCGAGCCGTGGGCAGGCAGAAGGGTGATCCTGGTTGGGTATACGGTCTCTAGGATAGAGTTCCTTAGTGAGGACCAAAGGGGCAAGCTCCGGGAATTGGGTTTCGTGTTGCCGGGGGACCTCACTGCCGGAGAGGAGGGCGAGCCAGCCCTTAGGGTTAATAGGCCCAAGATTAGGAAGGTTGAGGCCATTCCCCTTGCAAGAGAGCCCGACACGTGGAGGGGACACTATGAGTTTACCTTGGTGTCGGAGGAGACCTTCCGCGGGTACTTGCGAGGAAATAGGGGAAGGGAGGACTGGGAGCGCGCCACTCAAGGTGAGTTCTTTCGAGGAGGGTACGTCATTGATGAAGCCACTCAGACAATGTTCAGGGCCAATGAAACTCATGAGAGATTGGCTGTTGCAGCAGTGACCAGTGGTGTCATTCAGAGTGGGATTCACAATGGAGACATGATTCTCCGAGAGTATCTCGGTGATCCGAGAGACCACGGCCCTTCCGAGCCGGAGGAACCAGTCCCTGTGGTAGAACTACTGGGTCAGGTCAGGGACCTGTATGCCGACTCCCGTAGTCCCCAGGAGTACCACATTGGGTTTAGGCTAAAGAGGACGACGGAAGATGTAGATAGGGAAGGCAACTACTTAGGGGATCAGTTCTTCTTTGTGAGATGCCTCATGCGGGCTTCCCAAACTCCCCAGACCGTTGCGGATGTTGAGATGATGTCCAGAGTTCTCCGAAGGGGGACCGACGCCACCGGGCGTCGTACGAAGGGGCTGGAGGAGCCTACTACTTCTCGAGCATCCCGCTGTTGCACGGCTCGGAGAGCAACCAAGGACGAAGGGCTCCCGCGACGGGGTCCACTCAGTCTTCCAGCTCCAGGGGCCCTCATCCGTATGTCCGTGCACTGAGCCCTACGACCGCCTCCCCTTCCCGATCTGAGGGAACAGGTTCCTCAGATGAGATGAGGCCTAGCGGTGAGCCAAGTTCTCCACCTGCCAGCCCTACCATTCCGGTGTATAGGCTAGACCCTGCGGTTCTAATCCCCTCTTCGCTATTGCTTCCGGCTTCTGTTGCTCCACAATCAGAGTGCCGCCCTTCCTTTGGACATCAAGGGCATGAGGATCCGGAGGTAAACAAGATAGAGGTTTACACCAAGGATGTAGAAGCTAAGCTTGAAGCACTCGGGGATAGCTCGCTGGAAACCACCTACACAGTTTCCCCAGCCGAAGCCCGGAAGCACGCCGAGCGTTGGAGGGCCGCGTTGCTTGAAGAGCTCAGGTGCCTTGAGGAAAAGGGAGCCATCATCCGGAGAAAGGGAGCCGAGGCCCAGAAGCTCCTATCGGACCCCGAGGCCGTCACCCTGCACTCTAAGGGAGTGTATACGGTCAAGCCCGGCAAATACCGGCCGGATGGGCCGAAGCAGGCTTTCAGAAGGAAGGCGAGGATCGTAGCGTGCGGGAATGAGTCCCGATACACCGACACCGGCGACGTCTATGCTGCAGGCGTCGCAGGCGACGTCCTGCGCGCTGCACTCCTGAAGGGAGCCAGTAGGCGGTGGAAAGCGTTCGGCACTGACGTGCATACCGCTTTCCTGTTAGCGCCGTTAGGTACCACCCGCAGGTACCTGTTGCAGCCACCGGCAATCCTCAAGGCGTTGAATCTCATCTCCGATGGGGAGATATGGGAAATAAACCGCGCCTTGTACGGCTTGAGGGAGAGTCCGAGGTGGTGGACAGACTACAGAAATGCTGCGCTTACAGGCCTCACCTTCCAGCTGTGCAATGCCGAGACAGGCAACCTTGAGCCTCACCGCTTGGAACAGGGTAGCACTGAAGGGAACGTCTTTAAGATAAGGGGTCCCAATGGTGAGCTGGAAGGACTTTTGGTGTGCTACGTTGATGACTTCCTCATCTTGTCGAGCGATCCTGTGGCGAAAGCCCTCTACGAGGCAATGTGCACCCAGCTGAACTGGGAGTTGGATCCCCTCCAGGAGGCCACCCGACAGAACCCCCTTAAGTTCTTAGGTGTAGGGATAAGCCCTTTGGAAAATGAGCCCGGGTTCGCGCTTGACCAGAGGTCTTACATAGACGAGCTCCTCGCCAAGAATGGGTTTCAGGGCAGAGGCAGTAACATCCCCTGCCCAAAGGAGTTGCTGTCAGATGATGACTTAGAAGATCCTGAGGACGTAAGTTACCCAACGTCCCTAAGGGAGGCGCAACGCCTCACCGGCGAGCTCCTGTGGCTAGCTCAGAAGAGTCGTCCCGACGTCTCTTTTGTGGTGCAATACATGGCATCGCACACCATAGGCCGCCCGCGACATGTGTGCGACGTCGCACAAAGAGTGTTCAGGTACCTTTCCCTGACAAGGGATAGGCATCTCCGCTTGGTGCCAGAGGCCGAAAAGGGACTGGAAGTTTTCACTGACGCTTCCTTCGCGCCGACCGGGAAACACAGTCAGGGAGGGATCCTGATCAAGTATATGGGATCGACGATCCAATGGAAGGCGTCAAAACTTCCGCTGATTGCGATTTCGTCAGCAGAAGCAGAGTTGCAGGCGCTAAGTGAGGGTGCCATCTATGGACAGTCGCTGCAGGCTGTCCTGCGGGACGTCACCGATGAGCCCCCTTCCCTCGCGCTGCTGTGCGATTCCACTTCCGCTATAGCCCTCGCCGAGGGCGGGTCCAGTCAGAGGACAAGACACCTTCAGGTGAGAGCCGCCGCGCTCACGCAGCAGCTAGGGTCCTCAATGACTCTAGAGCACTGCCCGGGGGACGTGCAGTGTGCTGATCTGCTTACGAAGCCCCTTGCAGGGCCTAGGCTTCACGAGCTGTCCCTCCTTGTAGGCTTGAGTGATGAAACTGAGCCTCCCTCTGTTGGGAAGGTTGAGGTGTTGTGCGGATGCGGAGGAGCCTTGAGCAAGTGGCTCACAGCGTTCACTGCCTTTGCACAGGTCATGCCAGGCTCAGGCCAAGGTGAGGAGGAGGAGGATTTCCAAGGTGTGACGAGCGACCTCTCGCTCTATGTAGCCCTGGTTGTTGTGATCATAGCCATAGTAGGCCTTTGGGAAGGGATTAAGGTTGCAAGCAGGTCCTGCCGAGGACCCTCGTCGCCCTCCATCCGGGCTCTGGGGAAGAAAGACCGTCTTGAAAGGGCCGTGCGAGAAGCCCTCGATAAGGAGGTGACTTCGTCTACACCGTCCTCCTCAGATCAGCCGATCAAGCGAAGGGGGAGACCAGCCTCCCAGCCTCCGAGCGCCCAGGGGCACTCTACCGCGACTTCATCTACTACAACCACGACCTTGCTGCAGGTCTCGAGGTTCTCTCAGACTGAGGTTTTAGATGGAGGCAGGATCACGAGGCGGAGCCAAGGAGTCCAGACGGACCCCGATGCTCAACACCAGATGTTGATGCCACCCACTGGCGTCAACCCGGGAGCGGTGATGACTACCATGCAAAGAGGCGGAGTTGTCCACCTCTTCAACGACTGCGGAACCCTCGGAACACCGGGGTACAGGCAGGAGCGCACCTTCTGCCGGCAGTGCCTTGCAAGGGCGAACCTTCGCCCCTAGGGTTTTAGAAGGTTTAGTCCCGAGACCCCCCTAAGACCCGTGTGCACTTGCCTGACGGCACACGTCCCTCGTTCGTTCGTGGTTAGGGGTTGTTTTGGTAAAGGCCTGATTTTCCGAGATGGGGGGGGCCATGGGAATTCTTGTAGAGTGCGAGCCTCCACTGCCGTGAAGGTCGCAAGGAGGAGTGTAGAATTCCATCTCCTGAGCCCCTCCTGAGTTTGTACATGACTTTCGATCTTGTGTTTCGGCCCTAGGCATGGCTTCGGAATTTCAGCCTTGGGTCAACACCTTCAGATCTCACATTCTAGGATTTCACGCAGTCTGAGTAGATGTACAGCTCAGGTGATTTCCGTACGTTGAGGTTGTGCGTTGAAAAGGTAGGGACGGCGCGAGGGTTCATGGACCACTGGTGAGACCGGTGGTGAAGACTTCGAGGCCTCCAACCCTTTGTCGGGCACAAATCGAGAAGTGTACAATTCTATTATCCTGGAACCTGGACTCACGAGGACTCCAACCCGTTCTTTGGATTCAATAGGGACCTATAGTCGGGTGCTATAGTATAGGTAGGGGCCTTACGGCATAAGCGGAACCTTGCAATACTTGCTAAGTCCCTTTTATAGTCTTAGTTTATAAGTACCATAACCCCACTTAGGATCCCGTTAGGGTACTTACAACTCAAAAAGCCTAAACCCTCAACCTTGCCCCTTAACCCTAAACCCTACGTACGAAGTCCCATGACCCTCCAGTTCCATATTGGGTAGTTGTCAAAATTGGGGTTCCTTTTTGGGTACCCTAAATAATAGGTGCCGTACTATAATAGGGACCCAAAAAGGGACCCTAATTTTGACAACTACCCATATACAACTCTTAAAGGAACCATTATGGAACTCTTAAAGGAACCCTGAAAGGAACCCTGAAAGGAACCCTGAAAGGAACCCTGAAAGGAACCCTTAAAGGAACCCTGAAAGGAACCCTTATAGGAACCCTGAAAGGAACCCAGAGAACCCAATACCCCTTAATTAAGGAATATACCTTAAATTACAGGGGGTTTTACGTAATATTATGATTTAATGTATATTCCTTAATTAAGGGGTATTGGGTTCTCTGGGAACCTTAATATACAACTCTTAAAGGAACCCTTATAGAACCCTTAAAGGAACCCTTAAAGGAACCCTTAAAGGAACCCTTAAAGGAACCCTTGAAGGAACCCTTAAAGGAACCCTGAAAGGAACCCTTATAGGAACCCTGAAAGGAACCCAGAGAACCCAATACCCCTTAATTAAGGAATATACCTTAAATTACAGGGGGTTTTACGTAATATTATGATTTAATGTATATTCCTTAATTAAGGGGTATTGGGTTCTCTGGGAACCTTAATATACAACTCTTAAAGGAACCCTTATAGAACCCTTAAAGGAACCCTTAAAGGAACCCTTAAAGGAACCCTTAAAGGAACCCTTAAAGGAACCCTTATAGGAACCCTGAAAGGAACCCAGAGAACCCAATACCCCTTAATTAAGGAATATACCTTAAATTACGGTGGTTTTACGTAATATTATGATTTGATGTATATTCCTTAATTAAGGGGTATTGGGTTCTCTGGGAACCTTAATATACAACTCTTAAAGGAACCCTTATAGAACCCTTAAAGGAACCTTTAAAGGAACCCTTAAAGGAACCCTTAAAGGAACCCTGAAAGGAACCCTTAAAGGAACCCTTAAAGGAACCCTTAATAAAACCCGAAACCCGACCCTGGCCTTCTGCTCTTGGGCTGCTGCTTCCGCAGCGCCTGGCAGCTAGGGCTCTTAGGGTTCCTTTAAAGGGATCTATAGGGATTCGAGAAGGGTATAAGGGTTTAGGGGTTTGGGGGTTTAGGGGGTTTAGGGGAAAAGGAGGGACCCTTAATGGGGACCCCTGGGTCCCTAAAATTGACTATATAATGGGTATATAATAGCTATATTAAGGGTTTTTAGCTAGGGGTCCTTACTGAGGGTCCCTCCTTTTACCCTTGGATTTAGGAGCTTTAGGGGCTTAGGGTTTGAGGGTTAAGAGTGTAGGGTTTGGGGGTTTAGGGATTAAGGGTTTACGAGGTTGAGGGGTTTATGCGTGTAGGGTTTAGGGTTTAGAGAAAGGCTGAAAACAAAACCTTAATCGGCGGCTGTATGTGCGTGCTGTGCCGGTGTATAGGGCGTTTGCAAGAGCTTTACAAGGGTTTTGGAAGGAATTTTTGATTAGGGCTTATAGGAATCTACGGTACATGTTGGGTAGAATCTGTACTATGACTACTACGACTCAATGTATAGCCCTTGCCAGACATTTTGCATTGCAGGAGGAATTATTCTTAGGTTTTGGGGTTTAGGGCTTCGTGTTTCGGATTGAATGTGGGGCCCTTTGAAATTTCAATCGGACGCTTAGCCACCTGCATTTTGCGGGCCCTTGGAGAAACCCAATGGGTTGCAGGCGCCGGGAATCTGCAGGTTACTATAGGGGCCTTAATGATTAGAATAGGGTTTTGGGGCCCATTATACTATAATCATAATAAGGAACCCCCCACAATAGTGTAGGTAATTATTGAGACCCCTATATTAGGCTTTCGAATTTCGGGCTTGAGCTTCAGGGAGTGCGCAGGCCAGGTTTACGGGGAACCTGCGGTGGAGGGTGTGAGGAATCATTTAGAGCAGTTGGTTTCGGGTTTAGGGTTCAGGGTTTAGGGTATTTTCGTTTAGACTTTAGGTTTGGGGCCAAGGGTTTGAAGCTATAAACAGCAATTTCTGGACTATGTCCTGTTCTGGGACCTGCTTCCGTACAATCAACTCGAAAGGGCATGCAGTGGTAATCAACCGTAAACCCTAAAACCCTGCTATGTGGTAGTAGGCACACTACGCGCGACAGCCTCTGCCAAAAGCTCTAAAGCCCTCAAGAGGCTATCCTACCAAAACCCTCGCAACTCAGTCCTCATTCAGATGGTGAATCACAGCGCGACACGAGTCGCACTTGTAGCGATCAGGCATGTTGTAGCCATACTGATCCTTGCCGCCGGGGGCTTGACGACGTTTCCTAACCCCTTCACGGGCCGCAAACCCCCAAATGCTCAGCGTTTTCGTGATCTCTCTTTCGCCCTCAACCCTCGACCCTCAATGCCCAGGCCAGTCCAATACCCCCAGCCTGAGGTGCCGATTGCTATGGCTACTGCAAAAGCTTGAGGGGTCAGAACCAAGAAAAGGATGAACCAACCCTGCAGCCTTGAACACCTAACCCCTAAACCCCGAACCCCACAGCCCCAATCACGCAACCCCTCAAGCTCAGCCCTAAACCTCATCTTTAACCCTCACGAGAGATAATATAGGAGCCTCCATGATTAGAGCAGGGTGTTGCGGCATGCTATACTACTTGGAGGGGCCGGGGACTTAGTAACTAGGGTTATAAGTAGGGTTTTATTTGGGGTAGCTCCATTTAGGGTACTTATAACTCTACTTATAGCCTACTTACTAAGTCCCCTGCCCATCCAAGTATAATTATACAAAGAAGCCCGAAACAGTATTGGCAAATTGTTGTGGCGCCTTGGAGGGCTTTGAAGGAACGGCAAATTATCTGGGGCCCCTATACTACCCTCACCTCACCCTGAACCCTAGACCCTAAACCCTCACCTCACCCCAAACCATTCCGAGGGTCCTGTGGGTCCATGAATAAACTTACTTTTGGTTAGCAGGGAATGGAGGAATGGGGTACCACTATAACTACTATTACTACCATTCTTCCATTCCCTACTAACCACAGGTAAGATTATAAGATAATTATTAAGGCCCCTATATTATAGTACCCTTATAGATCCCTTATAGTAACCCTTATAGACCCCTTTATAAGGCCCCTTCCATACTAAAGGGCTCCAGGGGCTGTAGGGTTTAGGATTGAGGGCCTTCAAGGTCCAAAATGATGATCCTTAATTGGGTACCCTAAAGTTTTTGGTGCCGTACTATAATCGGGACCCAAAAAGGGACCATAATTTTGACAGCCACCCATATAGAAGTTTAGGGTTTAGGGTTTGGGGTTTAGGGGTTTGCCTTTCTTTGAATGGCGAGCAATGCTACGCCTAAACAAACCCAAACCCGGTACCGGAAGACAGGTTCAGGTTTTAGGGTTTTCAATCGTGGGCGTCTAGGGCTTCGGATTCAGAGGTTTGTTCTAAAGGGTTTAGGGTTTAGGGTTTAGGGCTTCGGATTAAGAGGTTTAGGGTTCGGGGTTTTGAGACGTCGGGGGATTTCTGCGCTTTTGGGATTGGGGATGTCGGTCCTCCTCCGTCATGGACGGCGCTTCTATCTTCAAGGACTGCGCAGCGAGTGTAGGGGTTGCTTTACCATCTGCAGGTATGTAGACAGAGAGAGAGAGAGAGAGAGAGATTGACAAACACAGAGAGAGCGAGAGAGACAGAGAGAGAGGGACAGAGACAGAGACGGATAGAAAGACAGATAAACAGATAGCGAGAAAGAGATAGATAGATAGACAGAGACAGAGAGAGAGAGAGAGAGAGAGAAAGAGAGAGAGAGAGAGAGAGAGAGAGACAGAGACAGAGACAGAGACAGAAAGACAGAAAGACAGACACAGAGATAGCGAGAAAGAGACAGATAGATAGACATAGACAGATAGTTAGACGACAGATAGACACACAAACAGATAGACATATAGACAGGCTGATAGGGTAGAAGGTAGCATGTATGAGCACACATACACCAACCTACCTGCCTGCCTGCCTTCGTACATAAATGACAACTTGAAAATAACTTCGCTCCGGCATATGCACTGCATCCATAGTTGCATAGTCATAGTTGCTCACCAGCAAACTGGGATTTCTGCAGCGCCCCGGACGAAGGGTATACACGTGCATGAACACTGTGTTCATGTACGTGTGTATATATATATATGTGTTTTTGATACGATGTAGACAAACAACCACATATTCATTATACATGCCTAGCACAGTGCACAGAACCATACATTCCTTC